CTGTCTGATCTTACTTGGTATAATGTATGAATATTCATCATATCTTTATAATCTGCTGCTAAAAGTTTTGCATTACTACCTTTCGTTCATGAGATTGTGGTGGACTATGTTGCAGTTACTTGATTATGTTGCACAAATGTTTCATTATTATTTTATTGAAATATTTTTAGGATTGGTGGATCAGGAACAGGACATCTGTTCACTCATCCGTGTCTCCGTACCAGAGGTAGTCTTTCTTACCAACACGCTGAAATGACTAAAGATCATGAGGTTAATTGTTCTTATTTCAAACTACACAAATGTCACTAGTCTACATACATACATACATCATCTAAACCGCTTATCCTTCTGGGTCGCGGTGGGGCCTATCCCAGCTGCCATTGGGCGGAAGGCATGTCACTAGTCTAGTTAAGCGTATTTCCATGTCTTGTCTTTGCTGTAGGAGATTTCTGTGCAGAGCTGGCCACAGCTGCCATTTATTCCGCCAGTTTCTTCTGGACATCTGGCGAGAATTTGGGTAAGAATCAGCTCTTAGAATCATTGTATAAATGAAATGGACAAAAAAGTCTCCTTTAAACATTGTATTTTCTCTTTCACTCATTCCTACACCAGCACTGCGGAGATCTGGACAGAGCCAACAAAATGTTTGGTTACACCTATTCCAGATGGTGTTCTGACTACAGAAAGGTTTCTTCAGTTTTTCTTTGTTTATAATACATGCACAGACAAACATTATTCACTGATTGTTGTAGATTGACTTTGTTAAAGGCTACAGTAAAGATAATGAGATGACAAATAAAGATTTTTATTAATTTATTTATTTATTCCATATGATTCTTGCAGCTGGTGGAGGTGAAGCTCCAGTATAAGGCGGTCTACAGAAGGCTGGAGTCTGAGCACTGGTGGGTGCTCAGCAATGACTTTTATCATGTCCATTCACTGGAGGTAAGGCTAAGTCATTGGAATAAGTTCACTGTTTCTATGTGATGTTCTGCAGTCTTTTTCCTTTAACCCCATGTTTTTATTGAATTTATAGCTCCCTCCCCAGTACTTTGCAACAGTCAGTGCTGTGGCCTGCATCAAGGTAAAGCTATGAACTCACTTGGACTGTAACGCTTTTACAACCAGTTTGTCCTATTCTGCTGTGTTTGTTCATCACCATGTCCTCTGTTCATGTAGTATACTGGAACATCTGTCGCTGAGGCAAAGTTCTACCTGCGCTCTGAGTCATCCAAGTCTTCAGTGCAGGATGTTTTACTGGTCAGTACTTCCTCTGTGTTTTTGCAGTTAGAATGACTTTTTCTAAATATACTACATTTTCATACTTTTTATTCTCTATTTGTTCTTTGCAGCAAACCGAGATGTCCAGGACGTTTAGGGTTGTCACTATGGACTCCAATGGCTGTTTCCAGGTTCATGACTCTAGTGATGCCCAAGTCCTTGAGACTCCTGCACCAGTGTTTTCCAGGCCAAGAGGACCACCTCCAGGCTTTTAAACAGCCGCAGGACAATTTAAACTTATTCATACATCTTTTTAATATTATTTAATATTAGTGATTTTTTTGGAATGTTAACATATATATGTTTCTGTTTTTCAGGTGCAGTCGGTTTAATGATGACCTATGGGAGCATGGAAGTGGAGCATCTCGAATGCCATCTATGCTTCACTAGACTTTGCACACTTTTCCTGAGGACTATTACTAAACAAGTCAAAAGGCTTCCCAGCCTGGGCGCTAGACTGTTGGTTGTATTCATGTTTCTACTATTTGCCTATAACTAACAGTATGGCACCTGTGCTAGGGCATTGTCATCATCCAGTTAGACTTGATTCAATAAGATCTTGATTCATACAAGACAATCACAAAAGACTCATTTGGTAAACTGAGATGTTGGTGCTGCTGTCTTGCTGCTCTCACACGCTCACTCAGGTTTGTTGATAGTGGAGCAGAGGGGCGCTGGCATCTCAGGGAGTCCTCATGTCTTTTACTTTTCTGCTTTTTAAGTTAGACCGTAATAGCAAGACCTGTTAGAGTCACTGCTTTTCATAGAGATACTTCTCATTGTCACTCTGCCTTTAACAGTAGTTGTCTTCTCATTGGTTAATCTAAATAATTCAGTCCAACAACAGGCTCATTTTCTTTTCTTTATTCTCTATTCACCATTGTATCTTAATTGTATCCTTCATTTATATTGCTATTGTTGTATTACTGTTTTGCTATCCGGTGTCGACCAGTGGAGGATGGGTTCCCCATTTGAGTCTTGGTTCCTCTCAAGGTTTCTTCCTATTGCACTTAGGGAGTTTTTCCTTGCCACTGTTGCCCTTGGCTTACTCACTTGGGGCTTGGACCTGGATTTCTGTTAAAACTAGGGGTGTACCGATATGCAGTTTTCACTTTATTAAACATTCTGGATACAGAATTTTAAAAGAAATTCTAAAATAGCAAATCGGTAGCTATTAACTTCCCTACAGAGCGAGTTATTTGTTTCGCCCATTCAGAATCGGCACGTAGCGGCTGCTTGAATCCTGTGGGGAGAAGTAGCTGCTGAGACTCGTGTTTTCTCCACAAGGCTGAAGTTGGCATCCTATTTGCCATCTTCTTAACACATTCCGTTCCACCTTAAGTGGAGTAGCAGTAGCGTGTAACAGCCGGTCCATTTAAGATGGAGATGAAAATTAGAATAAGATGCTGGCTAAATTTAACTTTAGATTTTCTCCCTGTAACTGACACATTGGGTGATTTTTTTTTTATAAATCAGGTCTTAGCACAAGTATCTGATCCTTGCATTGAGCAATATGTCATGACTCTGTTTGGTGCACTACTTTCTGCCCATCATTATTGTACTAGACTGAGAAACCTCACCATTTCAAACAGCTTGGCTAATCAACCATCCAAGGAAGGCTAAGCAAACTAATTTTTTGCCGTTCTGAGAGCTGCACAGTGGAATTTTCATCTGTTTGTGGTTATTAATTTTAGGAATATAATGGCTATATAAATCAAAGCTATATCAATCATTCTCATTGTCACACATTCTATAGCATGAAATCTAACTGTATTTGATTCACAGCGCGTATCGTTTCGCGACCAGCGTATTGAAAAAAAATCATATTATCATGCATATTGTGACACCCCTAGTCAATACTTGCTGAAACAACTGACATACAAATAAATTTGATTTGAATTTAATGTGAATGTAGTTGAGCTCATTTATTAATTTCAGCAGGGTTTCTGAAGCTTTTCCCCATAATTACATTTCTGTACATTGTTAGCACAGTTGCAAAGCAACTACTTTATTTTTCCTGTATGAATATCTTATATAAATTATTATTAATTAAAGCTTTATCCTTTTTAATATCATTGCTCATCCTTTCCTAAAAGAACATTCAGATATATATTCAGAACATACAAATAACATTTCAACACAAATGTAATCCTGTTCAATATGAATCATGATGCACGTAAGCCTAGTAGTTGAATCACTGTTGAATGTTGAACAGAAAAAAAACACTCATGAAGCCACATTTAAAATATATAATTAAAAACTGAGTTCAGCAATCTTTTATTGCTCTCAGTTTTTCAAACTGTGCTGCACTACATCCAAGTAAACAGGAACAATTATTTCCATTTTGTAATGAAACATGCAGTCCATCAGTTTTCTTCAATGCTCATAACATCTACAATATACTCAGAAAAGAGATTGTGATGTAATTTCTATGAAAGCGATATCAATATAATCATACTGCCCACCTCTAGGGCTAATTCATGTTTTTGTTTGTCACCTATAAATATGTATTTATATACACTTATACATGAATAGATAACTTCACAAATCTCCAAAAACACAGAGCAGCAACATTGATGCAGACCCAGTTGTAGAATGTGTTCTCTCCACCCCTGTGCTGTTAAAACATTTTAAAGATTTGTCAGTAAAACTGATTTTATATTTTAACTTTAAAATATTGATTGAATATCACTGAACTTCTAATAGTACTTTACAGAACAATAAATCTAACTTGTCATTTAAAGTTAAATGAACTCTCTAGTTTGAAGGCAATCAGGTTACTTACTTTATTAAGTTAAAACAGAATCATTTTTGGATGGCAAAAAACAAACAAACAAATGAATCCTTAAACAAATCAAGCCTCTCCTCTCACTTGAAACCCTGATAACCAAACTGAATGTTATTTTGGACATATTCTAAAAAAGAACTAGGTCATCGTAAAACACCATTATGCTTGGAGGAGCTGAAGGTAAAAGAAGAAGAGGACGACCAGCAGCCAGATACATTCAGAGGATCCAGTTAGCATAATTTGTCTGGCCCATCCTTGGGTTTGTTCTGGCCCAGTAACGTTATATTACATTGTTGGCCCACAGCATTCATGACGGACTTAGGCTGCGAACATAGACACAAGGCAAAACTGTGGGCAGCTGTATGGCATCTAATCCTATTCTAGCCTACATGACTAACATCTGCCCAGCAGTCAACCAACACACATGTAAGAAAGTCAGATTGGCCCAGAACTGTCATGAATCATGAATCAGCCATTCAGAACCCTGAAGACCCAAACACAAGACTGGATATTCAAGAGAAACACTATCGATATAGTCTCCAGGAGTCAGAAAATGACATGATGGCACTTAAAAAAAATTAAAATAATAACAATAATAGGCCAGCAAATAATAGATACACTGAATTTGACTTTACTTGAAAATGGTTGGCTTAATGCATTGGAATGTCAAAGTTTAAAGAGCTCACTTTATGACATACAGTACCAGAAACAATCTATGCAGATTACTTAACAACTCAATTTACTTGTAGTGTGTGATTGTCATGGCACTGCTGCTCTGAATAAATCCACGAAGCTGGATTCTGGCTTCTTATTGGAATTTTCCATTCCACCTTAAATGGTGCAGCAGTTATTTTCTAGCGCCTGAGACCAGAACCTTTCTGTACTGCTGCCACATTTAAGGTGGAACGGACAAAATCGAATGAGAAGCTGACACTTGAGCCTCGTAATGAACCCAGGGCGCGTGTGAATGTGCCTTGAGTGGAGTAAAGCCCCTTTCTTCTTCAGGGCAGGGTGTGTTCTTCCATCAGCGCGCACAAGCTGAAAACACTGGATTTTAAGCGTTTCTATGGTTACGTCATTCCGCACGGAGGCTAATTGGTGATTCTTGTAGGTTGGATAAGCTACACGATGTCTTCTGGACGGTACACTGGGGGCCGACACGGACAGTGAGCAAAAATATTAGCCCAGAAGATGATATTAGCCCAGAAGATGATGCTAAAGGACCGCCGCGTCTGAGGATGAAAATCCCGCCCAAATAGGTGTTTGCAAAAAGGCTAAGGCGAGATCTCGACCTGGAAAATGGCAGCTGTCAGTTTAACGGAGCCGCTTTGCCAGCCGTGTGGGTACAACAGTCGTTTCAAAGGTTAGCGTGCTTTTATATCTCTCGGGTCGGTTTAATTTGCGAAGCTCAAGACAGCTTCTTATTCGCCAGCCTCCTGTTCGAATTTTCCCGTTCCACCTTAAATGGTGCAGCAGTTACATTCAGGTGCAAGACCGTAACTGCTGCACCATTTAAGGTGGGACGGGCATATTCGAACAAGAAGCTGGCGAATGGGAAGCCAGCGTCAGCCTCATGTTTAATTTACTGCGCCAGCAGAGCATATGATGCTTTAAAATAACTAATCATTCAAATAAACACTGATGTCTTATGAAGTTAAACGTTAAAGTGTAATACATTTGTTTACCTCCAGTCGAGCTGTTCGTGAAGAAGCCCCTGATGCCCATCCACCTGAGCCCTGAGCAGGTAGCACTGGAGATGCTGTGCTTTTGCAGCCAGCTGGACCTTCTCATCAGGGCTCAGGTTCATCAGGTAATTCAGGTTTATGATACTGAATATACCCACTTGCACTATATGTGTGAAGCCTATAGACACCTTGTAAATCTAATGTTTCTTATGATCTCAAACATCACATAACCTCATCCCAAAGGCATTCCAGAGTGCATTTCTGCTTTATACCCCTTTAGCTGACACTCAGCATTGGGCATGGTGACCTTACGCTCATGTGTGGCTGCTCCTCTGCGTCCCATTCTATTGACAATGCTTTTCTTTGGAAGTACAAGCTGTATGCACAGAATTGAATATCTGTGTCAGCAAGGTGTGCACCTTAAAGTAGCTGAATTAATTAGAAGAACTGTCTGGCTACTTTTAGTCATATATTGTCTTAGAAGGCACATACCTTACATTTTTCTTGTATTTTATTTCTATTTCTACTTTTAACAGTTGTGTGTACCAAAACTGTTATCATGCTTTATGTACCAAATACAGTCATCATTCATTTTTACATGACCATTTTCCAACCTGTATTTATCCCTTTTAAATATTAAACATGTTGTTTTTGGAAGCATTATACAGGCTGTTTTTGGTACTGTGCCTTTATATGTAAATTAGCTCTGCTCTGATTGCCTGCTGTGTATTGTGCCTCAGTCAAAAATCAGTCTCAGCTGATGGACTACATATAACTTCAGGATGAATGGGTGGGGCTAAACCTCTTTAGTGTGAATAGACATATATTGGCTTGTCACATTTATAACATAATCACCTAGTCACAATCATTTGAGAGGATTGCAATCATTTGAAATGATCAGAATCACTTTCCAGAGTCCCTATATTTGACACTCGTATTATATCACAACAAGGAAAATATGAATTGGGTTTGTTGGGCTGAGACAAATAAATGTAAATAAAAGAAAGCAGTTAATGTATTCATTGAAACACAATGTGCAATTTGTGAAAACAAGAACATTTCTAACTTCTAACTAAAAAATTTATAGGGCAGTGCAAGAAATATTTGTTTATTTGTAACCTGTGTAGCTGTTTTTATTGTGTTTAGCATGTGTGCTGTCAGAAAGAGTCAGGTGTCTGCAACTCTTTCTCGACTCACTCAACTTACACTTGATTTTGTGTAACTGTGGACATTTCTGAATGTTGCGTCTAATTTGGAAAGTGCAATCTGTGTTAGCTACTAAGTAAACATAGGTAGGGAGCAAAATGGCTAATCGCCTAATTTTATGACTTTAATCGTTGAAGAGAACAAGGAAAGGCAATTAAATTGTTATTCGCAATTATTTATATAACAATTAATCGTCAGCTAAAATGTCATGATTGTGACAGCCCTAGTTGTATATATGTAAATGTGTTGATTTTCATGACATCACAAAAGAGCAACAAAAATTCAGTTTCTCATGATATGGGCCCTTTAATATCTCTGTCAGTTTCAGGGTCAGCTAAAACAAGACACAAGCCCTGAAGAATTAGAATCGTTCCAAAAACAAGGTAACCTACCAACAAATGGCTGTTCTATGAGTTAAAACATGATAAAATGGCAATGCAGGAATCACCATTGACAAATATGAAATATGAAAATATGAAGAAGTACAAATGTGCAGCATTCTTCTTTTTATGCATGTAGGTGCTGAAATCATAGATCAGATGAACCAGCGCCTTGAACACTTGCCTAAACCTGCACCACTGTTGGAGGTAACTGTTTTAGTTATCTTGTGCAATTATCTTGTCCATGTGTTCCTCTTTGGGAAAATCGTTTGGATTAAATCCCCCCTTTCAACTAGGACTATTTGGACATTGCCGGATTGTCTGTCATGTTTCCACGAGTAGAAGTTTATATTATCCATGGCAGCCCCGTGTATATGCTGGAGAGGCCACCTCTGGATGGTGAGGTGCTACATCAGTGATTAATCTAGAGATAAAGAAAAAAAATTTGGATGAACAAAAAGCATTTTGTGCATCGTGGGTATTTACTGATGTCATGTCTGCAGGCTACTTCCCTCACCTCGGCAGGCTGAACCAGTTGCTGGTTCTGAGTCAGCAGCTAGAAGATGATGTGAAGCACCTAGGGAGCCACAAGTACATCGCTCATCAGCTTGCTGTTATATATGTGAGTTGATCTGTTTTGCCATGTACACATTACTGACTTTGATCGTTTTGTCACTACATGCTGTGAATACAGTAATAGACAGTTCAGTGTTTATTAGTTCAGTTCATGTTTTTATCGCATGGACTTGAGTGAAATGTGAAGAGATATCAGTTGCACTATATGTCCACAAGTATCCAGACACCACTCCTAATTAGTGGATTCAGCTACTTTAAAGGGGGATTCCACCAATTTTTGAAAATTCTCTGCATAATACAATCATTGCATTATTAAAAAGGTCATTTGGAGTAGCTTGACGTGAAATAGTTTTTTGTAGAGAAACTTACTAGTGCAGATTTCTATCAGTGGTGGTGATAGGATCCAAAGGTTAAGGCATCTACAGCAGAAATAAGGCAAATAAAAATTTGCTATCCAAAACAACCAGTGAACATACACATGTTTTTATATGTAATGTTAAAATCAGAGGGCAACCCTCGGGGTCTTCTTGGCCTTCAGAGAAGGCCTAGTGATTTCTGGGCACTAAAAAATACATATCTGCAATTTTTAGTTCATTTGTATTTAAACAGTATTATTATTTTGCCTTACAACACCTTGCAAGTAGCTCTCCACCAGGAATGGACTTCAGAAAATATGTTTTGAGCAAAAACTTTATCTCAAAACTATCATAAAACAATGTCTAAGACATCAGGCAATGTATTCATAACCATTTCATGTATTAATTTTCTGCGGTGTAGCTTTTAGAGGCATCAAACGCTTCGGGTGTCTGGTTCCTATCACCACCACTGCAGACAATTCAGACTCAGGAATTTTCTCCAGAACAGAGCTTATAATCACCAAAGAAAAGCATTGCCAATAGAAAGGGACACCCTGCGACAGCCACAAGAGCCCAAGATCACCATGCCAAATACCAAGTGTTGGTTAGTGGGGTATGAAGCCCCCTGGCATTGGGCTATGGAGCAGTGGAACTATGTTCTCTGAAGTGATGGAGCTTCATTCAATACCTCTCAGATGAGCAGGTGTAAATAGAAATTTGTGATCCAGAACTAATCATCCAATGTCGGTATCTAACGTCACTGATGCTCTTGTGGGTGAAAGCAATCAAATCCTCACAGCAATGTTCCAACATCTAAAGCCTTCCCAGAAGAGTAGATACTGTTACTTCAGCAAAGGGTCTGCAAACTCCCTATTAATACCCCTGATTTCAGAAGAACATGAGCTGAACAGGTGTCTGCAAACTTTTGGACATAGGTTGACAGATGCTCATAGATGTATAACTTGTTCTGTGTTTGTGTTACAGCAAGTGCTTAATTCTCTCAATGACATATTGTCACTGACCCCTATAAAGAAGGACATTGAAGCCAACTTTAAGCAGATGAAGATGTCTTTGGTGACAGAGGAAGGGTCCAAACAAGAGCCGCAGTTACCAGCCCAGTACATCAGTTGGTAAGTATGCTATGGTGTTCGCCAAAGAAAATATTCATAACTGATAATGTTCTAAAGACTGATGATGTGCATTGAGCTGGAGCTTCATATTTACAATGGTTGTTACTTTTGCAGGATATCACAGTTGACACACAACATCATATCAACTGTATCTTCACTCACAGAAGAACTCACTGAGGAACTCAGCCCAGTTATGGCGTTTGTCTCCAAGTGGTCCTGACACAACTTCTATTTAGTCTGTAGTCTGTTGAATTGATGGGATGGCAATCAACTGTGCTGCAGTGTGCAGCTGGCTGGTAACACTATTAGAAGTAATTGACTGTAATTGCCCACTGATAATTGCTCATAAAAGAGCAGATGAGATGCTCACTCTTTACAATATAACCAGAAAGTATTACTGACAGTATTAATGTTTCATAGCAAGCCACAAACTAACTATACTGACCTAGACCAGATAAATAATTAGCAAATCACCAGGCAGTCACCATGAAATATTAGGAGTACCACAGAATAGACTCTGACGATGACTAGTTATAAACATTATTATTGTTTACTACTGTTTAATAATGCTCTAAGTTCACTCCCATTCTGTTCTGTTGTTACTTATGGTGCTAACAACATTCAGTCACATTTGAAATACAATTAAACATCTGTATTTTACATTTGAGCCTCACTCTCTTGTTTTCCTTTTTTCTGATGTGTAACCTTTTTTCAAATCTAAAACTTTTAATCATACAAACTGATAGAAAATTAGAAATCTGGGACACTTTAGACACTAATTTGATAAAGTGATAGAAAGCAAAGGGTGGATTCAGTGTGTTTTTGTTCACATGGGACACTAACACTATATGGCTAAAAGTTTGCAGATACATGCTCGTCCAACTTTCTTCTGAATTAAAGAGTATTAATAGAGAGTTTGCCACCTCTTTGCTGCAGTAACAGCGTATTTTCTTCTAGGAAGGCTTTTTTTCCAGCTCATCCCAAAAGCTTTGCTCTGGAGATTGTACAAGATTATATGCAATTGAATGACTGGGCGTTCCTTAGATTAACTGAATTCACTAATTAGAAGGCATGTCTAGACACATAGTAGTGTATGTTGTAGGACCTAAAATTACATTATTTTACCATATTAGGAATGTTTTCTTTTGCTCATATCAAAAGCACTAGTTAACATGTGAATAAACAGGAATTTCTTTCCAAAATACCTGAATCTACTATTTCCTTATTGATGTAATCTATGCGGCCCTGCCATAGACGGGTGACCAGTCCAGGAGGTATCCTGCCTTCCGCCTGATGACAGCTGGGATAGGCTCCAGCACCCCACCGCGACCCAGAAGGATAAGCGGTTTAGATGATGTGTGTGTGTGTGTGTGTGTGTGTGTGTAATCTATGCGTGTAAAAAGGGCCCATTTCATGGGAAAACAAATTTTTCTTGTTTTTTTGAAATAAAGGAGTGGTATGTGGACACTTCTACAGTTTCAGGAGTCCCTAGTCCATACAGTCCAAATTTGGATGCTGCTGGAAAAACGGCCCATGCTGAATTAGTTGTATTTGTGATGTCACCAAAACCAAAGCAATACCTTTTGTCTGCCTGTACAGCCTATAGCTGTTTAGCCCCGCACATTGAAGCTGAAGTTATAAGGAGGGTTAAAATATATAAGAAGAGTTTCATCCCAGGTTGCACTGTGTGGCACAACACAGTGAAGTATTTACATATCAGTTGAAGGCACAGTAACAAAGGAATGTCTAATTCTAATTGATAAATAGAGGATGGAAATTGGCCATGTTAAAATGAATTATATGACTGTTTTTGGTACATCATTCCACACAAGTGTTAAGAGTGGAGCTCAGGGAAAAACAACACAAGAAGAATATAGGACATTGGCCCTTTAACTCACCTAAGGGCAGATCATTATCATGTGGGAGGAGGACGTTCAGCCAGTGCGTGACGTATTTCCGCTTGCCTTTGCGGTTGTGTGGCAGTGAGGCGCAGGATGGCGCTGTACAGATTGAGCTCTTCTCTCCTCCTCCTCCTTTCTTTCACCATTTATCCTCACCTCTCAAAACCCTGTGTCGACTAACACTGGTAAGAACGCCTCTGTGCTGCATCTTGTCTCGTAAGTGCAGACTTAACATGGCTATTTCAGTTACTTTCTGGCTGAAACTGGCAGTTTACCGTGTGTGTCTGTGTGTAGCAGACAGCGGCAGGATTTCTGTTCCATCCAACGAGCGTTCATTATAATATTTACAGCACTGAAAGGCCAGCTGTTGGTACCCGAGCTCTCGGGGTCAGCGCTGGCCTCTCTTTCTGTCAGTGGTGCATGTGGACACAGTCAGCTGTGGTGTTGTTTTGGAATGAACACTTAAGGAGAGCGAACATAAGGAAGAAGGAGATCCTGAGTGATAATTACAGTAGCCAATCAGATTCAGAGTTTCTCTTTACAGACACAGTATCTGAACAATGAGTGTAATGCCTTATACCGGTTTTCCTTGTCTTTGTGTGTCTGTGAGTGCGCGCGAGTAGTGACCACGCCAGATTGAGCGTTTTGCCAGCTTAGTCTGTATTACATCTATATCCCAACTATGAGGGTTAAGCAGACTGTAAAGTGTTTGTGTGTCCATGTCTTCACATTGTGGCCCAGTGCTCAGCTACAGTGTTCTCTGTGAGGCTGTTAAAAGTGACCACAGAAGTTACAGTATAGCTCACTGTTGTTGCAGTCTCGCTTGGCAAAACCACTTCATGTTAAGTGTGAAGTGTAGTTTCATATTACTTTCAAGAGGTTTATTTAGAGTTTTAATAAATGTAGTTGTTAATTTTAATATAAACCCAAATATATTGACTTAGAGAGGTGTTTTATGTATTTTAACCACTTTTATGTCATTGCATGTGTGTTTTCCATATGTGTCCCCAGGTGAAAGTTACCGTTGTCTTTATCAAAACTCATATCAGAAATAATATAAATGATTTTTAAAATAAATACATATTCTCTTTTTCCATGTTCCACTTTCCACTCATTAACCCAGCCTAGCACTTCCATTGATTTCCATGAAGTTCCGTCATGTTTGGTAGGAATTTGGTAATCCACATAATTTCATCTTCTTCATGTTGATCATTTTCATGTTTTAGCATGTTTTGTCTGCATGTCCCACTCATACATGTTCCATCCTGTTAGGTCCAAATATACAGGAAGTCAGTAAAAATTCAGAATTGTGAAATATGTGAAAAAGAATGATTAAAGGTCTGGCTTATTATCATTCTAGTCCACTCTGTTGTCCTACATTAACACCGTGTTATGTGTGTATATTGTTTTAAATGTTTAAATAACATTTAATTTTTTCACACACTGTTGTTAGCATAAAAAGACCTCTTACAAGTAGAAAATCTAATACTTATAGTTATTCTTTAGCTAATGCATGATATATGAAAATGTAACCAAATTAAATGCTTCTTAATTGTTTAAAGCCCCGTATAAAACCAGAAATTGTAATTTTAATTTTAGGCCATGTGACTTTTAATGCATTGTGAAATGTATTCTTGTACTTTGTATAAGGTATTATACAACATAATGCAGATATCCTTACTGAGAGGGTATGAATATGAAGTGGTTCATTTAATAGAAATTTTTTATGTAATTTACTATTAAAACATTCTGAGCTCAAGTACTCTGCTGGTTATAACAAGAGCACAGTGTTAAAAAGAGCACTTACATTACATTATTATTATTATTATTATTATGAAAGTATTATAAGACTCAGAGGCACAGTGTACAAGAAATTAAGTGTCTTATATGGCTTACATTCACAACATTCAAAATTAGAGGTACGCACGTAAAGGATTTTATGGCTGTTTCTGATTTCCGTTCAGAAAATATTTTTTATTTTGGTTTTTTTTATTACTCGAAGCTCATGCTTTATAGGCTAAGTGAACACATTGCAAACAGTGGCACATTTTCAGTACATTCTATTAGTCGAAGTTGCAATAAAAATAATATTATTTGCTGTGTAGTCAAAACTAGCATTTTAAATAAAACTAGCATTTTAAATAAAAATAACTTGCCTACTTATATAACATGAATCAAATAAAGTGCATAATGCATGATTATACACTCACCAAGCTCTTTATTAGGAACACCTGTACTCCCAGACATTCATGCAATTATCTTATCAGCCACTCGTATGGCAGCATTGCAGTGCATAAAATCATGCAGTTACAGGCCAGCAACTTCAGGTAATGTTCACATCAGCTATCAGAATGGGAAAAATGTGATCTCAGTGATTTTGATCGTAGCGTGATCGTTGGCGCCAGACGGTCTGGTTTGAGTGTTTGTGTAACTGCTGATCTCCTGGAATTTTTAGGAACAGTAACAGTCTCTAGAGTTTACTCAGAATGGTGCAATAAAGAAAAAAACATCAAGTGAAAGGCAGTTCTGCATATGAAAACACCTTGTTGATGAGAGAGGCCAACAGAGAATGGCCAGACTGGTTTGAGCTGACAGAAAGGCTACAGTAACTCACATAACTACTCTGTACAATTGTTGTGAGCAGAAAAACATCTCAGAATGGACAACACTTTGAACCTGAAGGTGGATGGGCTACAACAGCAGAAGACCATGTCTGGTTCCACTTCTGTCAGCCAAGAACAGAAAGTTTAGGCTGCAGTGGGCACAGGCTCACCAAAATTGGACAGCTGAAGACTGGAAAAACGTAGACTGGTCTGATGAATCTTAATTTCTGCTGAGGCACACAGATGGTAATGTCAGAATTTGGTGCCAACAGCATGAATCCATGGACTCAACCTGCCTTGCATGTTTTCTAGGCCCCTGAAAACCAATCAATCATCACTTGAATGCCACAGCCTATTCAGGTATTGTTGCTGACCATGTGCTTCCCTTCATGGCCACAATTTACCATTTTTTAATGGCTACCCCCAGCATGATAATGCACAATGCCACAAAGCAAATGTTGTCTCACGCTGGTTTTATGAACATGACAATGAGTTCAGTGTTCTTCAGTGGCCTTCCCAGTCATCAGATCAGAATCCAGTAGAACACCTTTAGGATGTGGTAGAACGGGAGATTCGCAGCATGAAAGTACACATGAAAAATTGGCAGGAGCTGCATGATGCAAGCATGTCAATGTGGACTAGAATGTCAAAGGAATGTTTCCAACATCTTGTGGAATCCATACCATGAAGAATTCAGGCTGTTTTGAGAGCAAAGTGAGGCCACACCCAGTGTTGGTATGGTGTTCCTAATAAAGTGCTTGGTGAGTGTACTATGACATTTTAGTACAAGAAAAGAAGCAGCATTCAAATACAGCACGTACCTCACTCCTGTAATTTACATTATAAATCTGCAATATAGACAACCAAATCAAAATTATAATTTGGCTGATTGTATTTTTGGAGCAAATATTGGTCAGTTCCAATTGGTCGTTGTGCATTACAACTTAAAATAGAATTCTGCATAATTCATGCATTCAGATGTAAACAAAGTCATTTGGAGTGGTTTAATGTGGAACGGTGCACTGTAGAGAAACTTACTGACTCCACTTTCTTTATTGTGGTAGTGATAGTAACCATGGGTCTGTAATGCAAATATAGCCGTTATGTTTGCTATCCAAAACAACTACTGAACCTGCACTATTTTGACTCTCTAGTGCTTGTTTTTGTGCTGTACATCAGAAAACGTGAAATTCCAGTCCAACATTACAAAATGATCTGAGAAGAGATGATAGCAGAACCAACATTACTGTCCAGATCAGTGCAAAAGTAAGACATAAACATTTTATATATTAGACACAGAGTTTGTATTTTTTGTTACTTAATAAACCAGATCTATTTTTAATTTTGTTAAGGTGTATTTTGTATGTAATTAACAATGTTTTATAATTTGTTTTTAAAGAGAGAACTCAACTGTAGATGTCTCTTCCTGCACGTCTGGGAATCACTCTACTGGTGTGAGAAATGAAAACAGACAGAAGAATACGGTAAGATGTGATGTCACTCACCTTAATCTATTGGCTGACTTATGCAAACCCTCAGGCATTTCCTATTCAAATTTTTTCATGATGCATCATATTCAGTATTACATATACATTGATATTTTGACATCAGACAGTGTAGTAAGCAAAACTCTCACCTGAAGTCTGCATAGCCCTTATAGCCTTATCCGAAATGTTTAGAGGGGGAAGAGGAAAGCCCGAGAAGGTTCAGAGAATGCTAAGCGGAAGCACTCCAAGAGCAGCAATGGCAGCTTGGGCAGAGCAGAGAATGAGCAGCTCAAAAACAGAGACATTGAGGCCGTCACCTTGTTTGAGGTGGTTACCATGGGCAGGAGTGCCATGCAGGTACACAGTGGTGATTTTAATCTAGACAAAAGCACTTGCCTTTTGGCTACACCAGTTTTTGTCTCACACCTTCATTTAACTAGTAGTTCTGTTGTTTCTGTGGTCTTGTGAGACATTTGCTGGTCAGGGCCTGATTGACTGTGGTATTAATGTCTGTGCTGAACCTCCTCTAAAGGCTGTGGTGGATGACTGGATTGAGGCCTATATTATAGACAGAGAACCAGCCCTGCTTGACCTCATCAGCTTCTTCATCCAGTGTTCAGGATGCAAAGGTAAAATATTCAAAGTAGGGTTGGGCTATATGGCAAAAATATAAACCTGTTCAAAATAGGGTTGGGCTGTTTGGCAAAAATATAAGACATTTTCTTGAAGCATGATATGTATCACAATATTACAGTATGGTCTTTCTGAATTTTGAAACATATCAAAAGTTAAAAAATATCAAAAACTATAAATATCATAATTTTAATAAGCATTTCACATACTGCACTGCACAAAATCCAATTAAACAGGAGTAATTATGCTCTCTTTGTAATGAAACATGAAGTGATCAGTATACTGTAAGTACTGATGATATCCATGATCAGGAAAATATATTATGACATATGTGCCATAATTTCGCATGCTATATTATGTCATGTTTGTAATTGATCACAATTGCTATATATCATCAGATTGCTCACCTCTAATGCAAAGTTTATTTGAAGAATGTCTTGTGCTGAAGTAACAGCTTTAATATTTTCAGCCTTCACTTTCCTAAATGTTCTGCATATTGGCTGATAGTTTGACTGCTGCTTTCTCCAGGGGTAGTAACTGCTGAGATGTTTCAGAGTAAGGAAGACACTGATGTCATGAGCAAGATGGTGGAGGACTTAGATGAGGTTGGTCTGCTTTTTTATTCTCTCATGTTGATTTACATTCATAAATGCTTTGTAAAGTGAAACTCTTTTAATTATAAATTACAGAGCTCAGGTTTACAGTACAAGAAGTTCCTGGCATTTCCGTGGATATTGACTGTCACATGGCCCATGGATATTGTAAGTAGGAAACCAGCCATTCGGATGAATATCGGATTGATAAGTGCTTTAATTCAATTTGTTTCTTATATTTTACATTTAAATGTCTGAAACTACACTTTCATTTATTAAATTTCCAGTCGTAATGGTCATTAACCAGAAGTTATTCATTTTTCAAGACATCTGCAGTGATATTTTTCCATACCTCCAAAGTTCAGTCTTAGAAGTTGGTTGTGTTTTCTGTTTCTACCAATCCAAGTAATTCCAAACACACTCAGAATAACAGACTGGGTGGCCAGTCACTTGTTCTGAGAACACCAGCAGTTTCTTTGTTTGATAAGTCGTCTTGGTCTTAGCAATGTGCTTGGGGTCGTTAACTTGCTGCAGAATTAAATTCTTCCCAGTCAGTCAATTTAGAGAGGATATTGTGTGATGTATTAAAATATATCTGTACTTAGTTGTATTAATGATGCCTTTAATTGAAAACAAATCATGAGCTCCAGATGTTCTAAATCTCTGTACCTACACTGATTCTCCACATGATTGACTGATGGTTGTTATTGTGGTTCAAAGAGTCTGTCATTGTTTCAGTGCCATTCATACTGCCTTACGATGCTTCCAAAAATATTTTCAGTGTGTCAGTGTTCAATTTCAATCTTCTAGTGCAAATTTTCCTTTTTTTGTGTATTTCTTTTTTTCAGTAATGGCAGGATGGCAAATTTGGAGGAAGGGAAGCTATAGCTTACATACAGCTATTTAAATGTAAAACTGTATAAACAAAGTATGCCTACAATTAGACTTGTCATATTGACATCTCATGCTTTATGTGTCAAAACACAAAAACAAATAATAATATTAACAGAAATCACAGTATCATACATATTTACTGTAGAAAGTCAATTTTGTTGCATGTTGTGATGGCAATTTTTTCTTTCTGTTCTGTTGCTAAAATTCTTATCTGAATGTTGGCATAAGCCAACAAACGATCATAGTGTGGTATAGAAGTATAGAAAACGATGCTGGAAATGGTCAGTGCTTCTATCTTTTTGTCATTTCTAGCTATAACTAAATAAATCAACAGTATATTTTGGTTTCATTTAGAATTTTAAACTGTTTTTGACAGATATAGCTATAGTAACTGTTATCTCACAACACTTCTGCAACTCATTTGCAACACAGCTCTTTTGAAACAGCTATGTACTGTTTTTTTGACAACCTCATTACAACTCCCAACATTATCTTGCATAATTTCAAAAAGTAGGAGGAACATGGTCTCAGTGCAGAAAAGTAACTTCTTTTTAGACCGTGGCTTGATTATATAATCTCTAATATTATCATAATATAATAATTTTCTGCCCTGACATTTTCCTCTGTTACTCAGGACAGCGGTGAGTATCCTCTTGTTATGTCCGGCTTGTACTGGAAGAAGTTCCGCTCACACTTCTGTGAGTTTGTCTCGGTGCTTGTCGCTCAGTGCCAGTACAGTGTGATCTTCGACAACTACCTCCTGAACACACTCATCTCTCTGCTGACTGAACTCTCGGCGTCATGTGTGCGCGCCTTCAGACACACCTGCACACTGGCAGGTAACTATAACTATTCTAACTCTTAACCGTTAGAGTACCACTGCCCTGCCCTGCACGTTTCAGCATTTTATGTGGCCTTGGTCTGAAACATCCGTTGCAACTTAAAAAGGGCTTTCAATGATTAGTTGGAGAACAACAGAGCAGAAAAAACACCGAAGTATGCAGGACAGGGCTACTTCTGGACCAAACTCTATTCAGTGATATAATGGGATATCAGGGATGATTAACAAGTTACTTGACACTGATCTCTGACAGTCAATAAAGACTGAAAGAATGAATGAGGCCCAATATTTCTTGATATTGCCCAGCTCTGATTTGATTCTGTTTGACTTTGTCTACATTTACGAGGCTGGGTAGATTGGGTTTTACTGGCTGTTTGGGAGTTGGTCTCCTGGCTGATGCTGTTGTATTCCCTGCTCCTCTTTCTGCTCTCCTGCAGCGGTAAAGTTGCTCAGTGCTCTAGTGAATGTGGCCCTCAGCCTCAGTGTCAGTGTGGATAACAGCCAGAGACTCTATGAGGTGGAGCTGGCTAAGACATCCAGCAAGCGAGTCTCGCCACGGCTAGAGAGGATCCAGAGGAAGATTACGGAGGTGAGGCCATGACTAGAAGTCTAATAACGCTGATTCATGTTATGACCACTCAGTATGTCATTTTGATGTTGTTTTATGTCGTTTGTGTTTCCTCTACAAATCATAAAATGAACAAAGTTAATATTAAAAATTTTATTCAGACAGAATTAGTTACACATGGAGAGATGGGGCAATATGATATTACTACAAGATGTCTGATGTGCTGATGACCGATTCGCACAGGATATCTCGGTATAAATTACAGAGATGGGCGTGGCTTTTCAGTTTATTCATTGCCTTAGTACAAGAAAAATTCCATGCACCAGGGGTCGGCAACCCAAATGTTAAAAAGAGCAATTTCGTCCTTTCAACAAAAATCAAACCACCTTGCAAGCCACAACATTTTATGTCCATTTTATTGAGGTAACATTTTTCTATCTTGGCTGTAAATATATCTTCGTATGTGCCAATGTACTAGTATAGACTATAAAATATAAACAAAACTGCTTTAAACTTTGGCTCAGCTATAGCTGCTTTTCTTGCATCTCCGGCAGGTAACTTTTCTACAAAAGTGGAATGGTTTCTTGTAAAACGTCTCTCAACGATTTTTTACAAGGCTGAAGTCAGCTTCTTATTCTCCAGGTTCTTTTTTAATTCTCTTGTTCTACCTTAAATGGTATCTGAGGCGCCAGAATGTAACTGCTGCAACTTTTAAGGTGAAATGGGAAAATTCAAACAAAAAGCTGGCAAAAGACAAGGTGACTTTAGCTTAGTGACTTCTTAGTTTTTGACAGTTTGTGGCTGCAGAATAAATGTTTCTGCCAGACACCGTGTATTCAGCTGCTCACAAGTAAAAAACAATTTTAATGTAATTGTAATTTTGTTCAACCTGACCTCACTAAGTGAATGCAGTGTGTCATTAGCTTGGAAGTTTGCAGCCAACAGTCACACACACACACACACACACACACACACACACACACACACACACACACACACACACACATTTTCTAAACCGCTTATCCTTCTGGGTTGCGGGGAGAGCTGGAGCCTATCCCAGCTGTCACTGGGCGGAAGGTAAGATACACCCTTGACAGCTCGCCAGTCCATCGCAGCCAACAGGCAACAGCGCTGCATAAAATCACAACTTTATTTCTGTCATTTTACATATTTTAAGGTCAGTACATTTTGGCTCGATTTGGGTGGCCGAGAATACAAATAAGTGCTCTTCGAGTGGCTCCAGACATAAGAAAAAATACACTCCTTTTCCACAGGATATGATGAAATATATGCAGACATGGCAGTTCACACAAGATTTTATAGAACAAGTCAGTCTTTTACCACATAGAGGTTTCACCAATTCGTGGGGCATATCAGTCACAATCTGTAGAAACAGAGTTGCCATTTGTCCATATGATTCAGCTCAAGTTAATGATTAAATGTTTTAGTTAAATGCAATGTTTTCTGATAGTAATTTGTGAACGTTGTTAACTCATGAATTTTTCCACTTTCTGATCTGTGTAAGAGCTGGGCAATCAGAAGGCAGTACATATTACATTAATAGAAACAAGTTCTCTTTTAGGGTGTACTGAATATGAAATGGCTGTCAAGAGAACAGTTTCCAAACTGAAAACTTTGTTGATGCTTTTTCAGTTGCAGGACCGAAAGCTTGAAACAGAAGACATGATGGATGTCATCTTTAAGGGAGTTTTTCTTAAAAGATACAGGTTATCTTATTATTCTTTGTTTATTATTTTTTATTTTTTACTGTATCAGTTTTCTGTTGTAAAACTAATGTTGAATAAAGTTCTGCTTTTCTGGTTTGGCAGAGATGTGATACCTGAGATCAGGGCGATCTGTATGGAGGAACTGACCATATGGATGAAGCTCTACAGTCCAGTGTTCTTGAATGACACCTATCTGAAGTATGTAGGATGGATGATGCATGACAAGGTTTGTTTCCATGATACAGTAACTGATTTCTACACACAATATTGTCGCAGTCATGCAAAAACCTTGTTAATTTGAAAGTTCCAGTCACCCTGTGCGTTGTGTTAAAATTGCAGAATGAATGAACAAATAGAAATGGTCCAAAATTACTCGTTCCATTAACTTCCATTAAAAATTAAGAAAATGTTTTCCTTTTTCTGTAAAGTTATTTTTCAGCAGCTTTTTATTTGTAATTTTTGTTCCACCTTAAATTGAGCAACAATATCATTCTGCCACCTACACAGGTGCCTGCATGTAATTGCTACATCATTTAAGGTGGAACAGAAAATCTGGATAAGAAACCAACTTTAGCTTTGTCTGAATTCTCACATCATTTCTCATATGTGTTCCCGTACACTCATGCTGCCGACAGTCTTAGACACTGCTGGAATTTGGAAAATATTACAGTCATTCGGTACCACTTGGTCCATGGCTTGTTGTATGGACAGGGCCCTGAGACCACGCTGTTGTCTGATGCAGCTGGCTAAGTCAGGTGGCCTCTTAGGCAATATGAGAGAAAACAGGATTGTGACAATTGCTGTGGCGTACGTTAGGCTAAGACTAACTCCAGAAGACCAGCAATTCTTTTATGTCTGCTGCCTAGAAAACAAAGTGGACTGTATCAGATGCAACAGACTAGACAGTGGAATATGATTGAGGGTCTGCCATGTTTTTATTTTTATTTAAACGTTTCTGAAACATGCCTGACTCAACCACTCAGCTGAAGTGGCTCACATGTGTTGACTGTAATATCATAATGACAAAATCTTAGAAGCCCTGAGCTTTTGGATGGAGTGCCTCATCTACCTGGCTTATAACTCGCTCACTCATGTTTAACAGGCTGAAGCTTCTCCACTGGGTGCGCTGTTACCATTCTAGTAGTTTTTGGTGCTTTGTAAGAGTAGTGCTTTGCATCAATGATGCTGTGTCCTCGTGAAAAGAATAGTTTCCCCAGATGGAATTTAACTCATTCTTGCCATAACAAAAGGACCGATTATGATTGGCTAAGACACATTTAAACATATTTTTTGGGAGATCTGTGACTTTGCTTTACTTGATTCTTGTTTCACAGCAACCTGATGTGCGCTTGAAGTGTGTGCTGGGTCTGCAGGGACTCTATCAAGATGTTCATCTCAGCTCTAAAATGGACCTTTTCACAAGTCGATTTAAGGTACCATCTGCTTGTACACTCCCAGAATCATTAATAACTATTTTAAGATACAGAAAAAGCTTCACTCTCTTTGCCTCTCCAGAGAGCACCCAAAAACTATTGCCCATTAGTCCATTCTCACTCAACAAAGTGGGAGTTGTGATGATTCTGCCTCTGGCCACAGTTGAAACAAGCCAGGTTTCTTTCTCTAACTGTGCTGAAGTGGGTCAAAGTTTCAGCTTTTGGAAAAACGTTGTGTATTATACGAGTGTGTGCTGACTCCAGTGGGACGGTGGAAGAGGCTGCTGCTGACTGACAGGTAGTGAAGCCCTTCAGGTTTTGCCCAAGGCTCAGCATCTCCCACACAGGGTCAGTCATCTCCCTCAGGGGCCGCCTCCACCGCATCACTACCGTTAGCCAGAAAGCCTTTAGTGGCAAACAGATTGGCACAGTTCAGATTTAAGAAACCATTATGTACTGAAGCGGATTTCTAACGAGGATAAATCACATGCTTTTAGATGAGATTGCTCTCAGAGAGGGTAGTTAAAGAGTTTAGAGGAGGCTGGCTGTTGGTTGTGAGACTGACTGAATGCCGTGTATGTTTACAGGAGAGAATGATCTCCATGACTCTGGATAAGGACCATGAGGTAGCAGTGCAGGCCATGAGGCTGCTGATGGTCATCTCCCAGTGGGTCACCTTTGCTCTTTTTCTAAACATTTTACTTTCCTCAGGAGCCCTTCTTACCTCAAACACTCCTTAGTTCTTGTGAGGCTGCCTAGCTGACCTAACTCTGCTTTGATATGATTATTCTTTTTGTGAACATTTATTATTATTATTATTATTATTATTATTATTATTGTTAGGGCTGAAGTGATAAGTTTCAAAATATCTGTAAATCTGGACAAATTTATCATAAATATTGGTATTAGTGTTATTTAAAGTTACTGGAATTACTGGAACTGAAAGTTCTTGTTTGCACCAGAGGGAGCTCAAGCCCTATATATTACTTAAAATAGGAAATATTCTTAAAAGTACATTATGCAAGCATTATGTCTTTTTCAACATACATAAGTCTTTACTCAGTAGCGACTTATGTAACAGAAGCTGGCTCAGAGAGTAGCCAAATAGCATTACTTTTATTGCTTACAACAGAGAGCTTTCTTACTGAGCCCTTTAACACAAGCAAAAAATAACAACAAAATAATGTCCCTTATTGTAATATCCAGTCAAACCTAATGTCTCACCTGTGGCATATTCAGATATTTTAGCTTTGTGCCTGTTAAAATCTTACCCCAGAGTAGTTACAATGTGTGCATGACCACATTGGTGCAGTAAAATGTAACACGCTATAGAATTGGAGCTTTTTGTGAGCTATTCTGTCTTCTGTCCCTGTATAAGAGGAGCACGTTGCTGCCTATGTTGTAGGATTCACTGGGTCTTTTTACGAATGAGCATGCGCAAACATTTGAAACAGAATTCAGACCAGTAAGGGCTTATTATTTATTTGTTTCATCAGAGTAATGATAAAAGATGAGTGACGTGTAGTACGTTTCATATGCAAACATTTGAAAGTAAGTTAACTCATCCTCTACAGTGAAAACATATAACATATAGTGGAAAAAAAACACCAAATATATAGTTTAGCTTTTTGTTTTTTCTCCCACAAAATAAATGTAATAAATAATTTAACAAACTTAATGCAGATAAACAGTGCATTAAAATGTGCAGAATTGTGTTCTTTATATAGGATGTGTGCTTATTTTCACTCAGAAAAATTTTCCTTCACAAAAAAGTAGTTTGGGACACAAGCAAAATAAATATACACATTCTCAGTTTTGTTACATAATGTTCTTTGCAGATCAACCTGAATGTGATAACAGCAATTAAATGACAGTATTAGTCAATAATAATAATAATAATAATAATAATAATAATAACAATAAGAACAATCGCAACAACAACTGCAACAACAACAGCAATAATACTACAACAAATAAAACTATTAATAATTATTATAATAACAATGTTTTTTTCAAACACTGATCATTACTGAATCTCTCTTTTGTCATGTGTTTTGTCAGGTCGTGTGATGATGTGCTGAGCCAGGACGACTACAAACACATATTCCAGTTTGTGTACTGTTCTCATCGGCCTCTTGCAGCCACTGCAGGGGAATTCCTCTATGGCAAGTGAGTGCGGCTGCAGTAACCTTACTGTATGTATGCTGTTGCTTACCACATCTTACCACAAGTAAGATACTCATCACTATTAGGACAGAAACTCAGTTTTTGTCACTTTTTGAAGCCAGCTACCTTTTATATTATGTGTAAAATTTATGAAGAATAGTCCTATAGATAGTCAAAATTACTTGGAAAAAAATCTTAACATTGACCTGTTATGAGTTAAGGACATTGAAGTTTTTGGAGATATTGTTCCAACAGTCACAATATGCAACTTTCATTACAATAAAGTTTGGCTCATATGTCTTTCTTAGTTCACTTTTATTTTGTAACTGTAGATGATGTAAATCAATGGCAGTATGTATGATTGCTGCTTACAGAGCATTTTATGTTGTTCTCTCAGGATGCTAAGTAACCCTGCAGTGCCACAGTCACTAGAGGGAAGATCAGAAGAGGACAAGTGCAGAGCACTGACCCTCGCAAGAGTTCGAGCACTTATCCACTTTTACACCGACAGTCAGGTAATATATGAGCAAACGTTCTGTAGTTCCTTATTACTGTCATAAGAAAACATCATAACATTATTTAATTTGGACCACATTATTTTTTCAAAAAGCTAACCTTTAACTTGTTTTTACGTTACCAGAGGTTAGGTTAAAAATTTTCCCTTAAAAATGTACAGTTTTGGAAATGCAAGATCTTCTTACTACAGCGAAGATACACATGAGAAAACAAGAAGTGGTTACCACTTCTGTTTTGTTTTGGCCACAATTTGCATAATTTTTCGTTGTGTTAAAAGAGCAAGTATCCAAAACTAATTTGACATCCAGTTAAGTGTTCGACTGTTGAGTTGATGTGTTTACTGCATCTGAATGTGGCTGCTCTTCTGTGCTGCAGCTGCATCAGCATGTGCCATATGTAGTGGACAGTCTGTGGGACAGTGGTGGTGCTCTGCTGAAGGACTGGGCCTCGCTGACCTCTCTGCTCACTGCCCAGCCCCCCTCACAGGAGCAAGGCTAGTACATACTCTCTCACATAAGTCTTGCACTTCCCCTTTGGCACAGTTGCTAGAGTCTTTGCAGTATTTTCCCTCTCCTCAGTTGCTTTCCAGCTTTCCAGTTTATTGTTGCATGCAGTCCAAGATGCCCTATATTTTGCAAAGCAGTGAAATAGTTAACATTTTATTACCCGTTGCTATGGAAAAGAATCAAAACATACCAGTTTACCCAATTGCTTTTTACCCTTTTTAAATCTGTGCCGCTCACCCAATCAGGGCCGTAGCAGCAATGTCAGTAACCAACTGTTATTGTTCACCATGTCAAGCTTGCACCTCACTGAAAATGAAAACCGCTCCAACAAATGAACCGCCTTTCACACAAAAATTTGGCAAATACTTTAATAATGTAAAAACTATGTGTGAGTGATTATAAATGAGGACTTCGGTGTTATTTACAAATGGGAAAAGTAGACAGTGTTATAATGTTTTCCCAACTGTGAATTCCACTACATCATGTGCAGAAGTGTGAAAAGGGTCTATTACAGATGGCAGATACTGAAACATTGAGTGGTGATTGATGACAGTATTATCAGTGATATCAGTGATATTTTCAACATTATTGATAAAACAGTGTGTCATCAATATGGGCCCTAAAGTGAAACACAGGCTCTAAAATGAAGCACTTAGTTTAAGCATGAAATCTAAAAATACCATACGCTAAACTCCAAACTGCTAAACTAAACATTCTACTGCTCTAGAGGAAGATCACGTTACACGTATTGTTTATTCATACTTGTTCACACAAAAAATAATCCTTAAAATATAAAATCATATTGTTTTTTAAATAAAAGAATTGCAATTCTGGTATAATTATTGAGTAGCTACTTGTTTTCTAGTGTTAACATTAAGCTACATGTGACTAGTGGTACATGACCTACCTTGCTTTATGTTGTGTCACATTAGAAGTAGTTCTGTGATTTTTGAGCCTTGATTTCTAACAAAATTGAATCAGATTGTTCTGCTGTTATTGATCCAGTACTGATACTAAGTATGGGACTGGTGCCGTGTCTGAGTAAAAAACTAATAATAATTATAGAAAAGTGAAAGGTTCAATAAATAATTTAGTCTATGTGATATATACATCCACATGTATGTATTCATACTAAAGTTAATGTGTGTATGTGTGTGTGTGTTTTACAGTGTTGAGCAGTGCTGAGGAGGCTCTGGTTATTGAGATTATATTGGCATCAGTGAGACAGGCTGCTGAGGGGCCTCCACTAGCAGGGAGAAGCACAGGCAAGAAGGTTAGCTTTTGCTTTTTTCTAAATTCAGCAGTTACATCATTTAGTTCAACCATATACCAGAGTAGGAAGCCACACCAAGGACAACTATTAGGCTTTTCCTCTGTGTATGACTTTGAATTGTAATTGTAGTTTTGCCCTATAAAATCCAATTCACTGAAGATTAGTGATGATAGTGTTTTTTATGGGGATATCATGCACTTCAGGTAAACCTGACAAATCTCATTCATTCAAAACCACTCTAACAACCAACCACTCCTTGTTGATGTTGACCGCATTAATCTGTCTTAGTCCTTGACTCTCTGTGTTAGATGTTCACTGAGTTAACCACCGTGTCTGTTTTCACTTTTGAGCTGATGAGATCTCTTCGTCCAGTTTGCCTGTGTAAAGTATATAGAGAACGCATTGTGAATATGTGTGCTTAAGGTGATCAGTACTAAGGAGAAGAGGCTGCAGACTGATGACTGTGTCAGGCTTACAGAACACTTCTTAAAGGTGCTACCTGAGCTGTTATCCAAGGTGAGAAATGATGTTTTTGACTATGGATGTGTCTCTGTGTTTAGTACATTAGATGTGCTCTGATCTGTCTGACCTTATTTTCAGTACTTAGAAGATGCTGAAAAACTGACCTCCTTCCTCAAAATACCTCAGTACTTCCAAATGGACACCTGTGGTGTTGAGTACACTGAAGTGAGTCTCGTTTGTAATATGTTCTTCACAATGCTAGACATGGTTATAATGCATAAAATGATTAGAGAAGCATTATTAGATTAAGTCAGTTATTAGCAGCAACAGAAATTAATGTTATAATACCATACATGTTATAATAATATATCCTCCTTTACTGGCTTATGTCTTTTACTTATTATTTCCTCTCACCAGTAAAATATTTTGTCCTCTATCATCTCTTGAATATTTAATGATGAGTTCTACATAAAGTTTTTTAATTTTTATTTTTTTACTGAAATATTTTTGTGGTTGTGTAAAAAAGACAAAACCATCAAACCATCTGTTACACATTATAGTAAGAAAACAGAGTAGAATAGGCAAAGAGCTGGTTAACTGCTTCTGTAGTAAGTAGAGTTCACTGTAAAGCACCCCCTGCTGGTGAGAGTTTGTCAGTGTTTTCTGTGGTCACTAGTCTGTGCAGGCTTTGCTGGCTGGGCTTGACGCTGCAGTGGGCAGACACTCAGAGGCCGGGCTGCTGGAAGAAGCTGCTCGCTCGTACCACAGTCTCTGTGCTGATGACTCACGCTGGCAACTCTTATCAGTGCCCGCCATGGACCAACTCATCCAGCGCTGGACACACACACTGGAAACATGCTTAGGAGAGGCACTGAGTGTGAGTGTTGTAGTAGTGCTTAGTAGAGACCGTAGCCAACACAGACAGACCTTTTATAAACATTAATGCGGGATTTGTGTTCCCTCCAAGTACTTTAATGGGATAGTTCAATAAAAAAGGCTGTTTGAGATTACTGAGATTACTACAACTTTATTCTGTTTAAAGAACTATTCACACATGGGCTGATGCAGGTTCTTATGAATGCACACGCGTTAATGCCATCTTTCACATCATGTCCAAAGCTGGTGGACTGAGGTGCTGCATAAAATTTTCTATCAGAGCAAACTCAATTTTCTGCGTTGTACACGTGTTAAAAATCGCGCTGACCAGTCAGGCTCTGTTGTGATGATTGCTGCCAAGCGATTGAACAGCTTTCTTGAGGTAGAGCAGAAAAGCTTTTATGATGAGCAACATGGTTGTGATGATTTTAAATTTTAATGTTTCTTTTTAAGAAGATAAAAAGTACAGCAGAATCAGTGTCTTGATTTTGTGCACTAACGTGTTCAGAGTCATTCGTTATAGATGTTCGGCTCTTGTATAAAGTGGTGGAACTCTCCATGTTGTGGTAAAATAGGGTGTGTTTAGATGTAGCACTTAAAAGAAAAATTCAAGATCACTACCGCTTAAGGAATCTCTTTCTTTTCCTCTTGTCTTCTTCCTGCATTCTCTTTGTGTTTAGAAACACATTGGACTTGATGTGAATGTTCCACTGCGTATCGCACCGTACTTATGTGAAAAGGCTTTAAGGCAAGCATGTGATGATTCACGAGTGCAGATTGCATGACAAATTGGTTCAGTTAAAGCTTATGGTAGCCTTTGTAGTGTCAGTGCAAAACTAAGGAAGCAAACTTCAGATGCCGAACATATCTTGACCACATTTGGGGTAAGGTTAATATTGTGTAAACTTCATTTGTCAGTGAACCTTTTAGAGCTTTAAAGCCATGCGGGTGATATTTCTTACCTAGGTGTAGTTGAGCCAGTATGGCATGCCTTTACATCATTTGTAGCTGTTTTTTTTATATAGGCAGCTGTTAAGACTAAAGAGGGAGACTTAACTAACTGCAGTGTGCAATGCTTGTGTTTAGAATGGAGCCTTCGTCGCTAATGAAGAAAGAAAGAAAGAAATTCTAACCACACTGAAGAAACTTACTGCTTTCAACAAGTAAGATTGAATTGCCTCATTTAGGTTGGAGCTTATCTCTTCTTATTCTCTTTCTCTCATCTGAAGATTCTCATATTCCTCGTTTTGTTCTCTCTCAGTGCTCAGGACCTGTCTAAGTGGGGGATTTGTGAGCTGGTCTCCAAGCTGCTTGTGGTTGAAGTACAGCATGGGGGCTTGCCAGTAGAGGTAATATTGACCATTTCAGCAGTTTAATCAGTATAACCTGCCTGTTGTACCACAACAACGAATCTACTCCTTTGTCTTTGCTGCTTGCAGATGACCACTGAGGCGCTGCGCTGCATCTGCTGCTGCATCCTATGGAACCTCAATAAGTTTGGCGAAGGAACATCCTCTAGGGTAAGGCAGTTGTCACTCTGACTCAAATCCACCATGCAGCAAGGCTCCAGCCATTGGCATCTGACGTAGTAATGAGAATGCTAATATTTACACTCACGGCAAACTTTGGTCCTGAGTGATAAATTAAGCAAACCTTTCAGGTACGCTTGCCTCACTGTCTGTGCAATTCCTGTATGATCCATCACAAGCAAACATGTCCTTTAATTCTGCTACGTTCCATTTGAAATATCAGCTATGATACCTTCAAAGGCCTTGGGTTGTGTCCAGTGGATTTTAATAAGTGGAGAGAGAAGCCTGTGATTGATCATGAGTCGTTAGGAAAAGTAGGTGCAGGTGATTGATTATGGGGGGGAAGTAATGGCTACCTTCTTGCATGAAGGATCCTCTGCTAATCTCTAATGTGGCGTTGTTATTAAGCCCGTGTTTCCATGCGCTGCACGGGGTAATCATATTTCCCGACCCCTAACCTTTCCGCACCGAGATATTGATGGCCATTAAGACTGCTGTAGGTAAAAGAGCGACATTAAAAAATCCTTCGGTCGTGGGGGAGCGGCAAAAGAACGTACGCTTTCTCTCCACAACCCCCTCATCAATAACTGCCAGCGTGGGCTGTAATTTGAGGCCCAGGCGGCGACTTTGGCCCAATCTGCAATTCTAATGTCAGTGGCATTTGACTCAGGAACGAGGGCGATTGGGAGCGAGAGAAGGTGGGTAGGGGGGAAAAAAGATGAGTTCAGCAGAAAATTGGGATATTGTCCGATTAAAATGAGTCATTTGGCTGAAATGAGATTGCGGCGTAGGACGGCCTCGAATGGACGCAGCGTTTCCTCCCCTGGAGCCTGGTGTGCACACACACATTCGTGCGTGTAATTATGAAAGAATGGTTTACATGAGGGACCGGCAGCGCCTCTACTAACAATGCTTTCATCAATCCACATCAGTGAGAGCCCTACTGCGCTCCTCCATCAGCTTCTATTATTTAGCCTAATTACGTTCTCACCATCTCTGTCTCTGGAGCTTCCCCAGCCCAGCTCCCATGCCACACACCGCTCCGTTTCATGCATATATTGCACAAAAAAGAGAAAGGCAGATTTATATTAGAGCTCTTATGATTCAGCCTCTTGTTGTTTGCGTTGAAATACAGTTTGTCCGAGCACAATTAGAAGGTTTAGTATATTTGGAATGAATACTTAAACTCATCCACAAAGGTTCTGCAAAGTAAACATACAGTGAAATATATGTAATATGATGAACAGAGGTGTGACAGATTCAAGGGAAAAAAAAAAACAACATGAAGTGTCTTATTACTTTGCTGGGCCCCCATGAACCACCAGAACAGCTTCAGTGTGCATTGGAATACATTGGAACTGTACTGGAGGAATGGAACACCACTCTTCCAAAGGATATTCCCACAGTTGGTGTTTGGTGACATCATTTTCATGCTCATCAAACCATTCAATGACCCCTCGTTGGTGGATTTGAGCATTATCATCCTGGAGGCCGCTACCATCAGAATAGTGTCATCACAGGATAAAGGTTACAAGTCAGAATAACTTGCATTGACCCATCCCTCCAAGGCAGTGGTCTTCAACTTCAGTCCTGGAGGACCAGTGTCCAGCACAGTTTGGTGATTTCCTTACTAAAGCACTGATTCCACTCATTTGTTAATAGCCAGGTTTAGTTAGTGTTTTTAAGTGGGTGATTACCAAAATGTGCTGAACACTAGGAATCCAGGGCCAGAGTTGAATACCCCTGCTCTGAGGCAACATGTGAAGTCAAACCATGCCCCCGCAGCATAACAGAGTCGATGCACTCCTTTACTGTAGGGATCAAGCATTTAGGCCTGTCCTGTTGTCTTTGGTGTATGCCGTACATGCACTCGCCCACTTGTGAATAGGATGACTCCTCTGACTATATCACATTTTTCCACATTGCTTCTGGTTTGCCACTCGGCTCTCAAATGTGCATTCAGAATACTATAATGTCCATCTTCTGTGTAGTTGTGGGCAGACTGTGATAACATTGACATGCATTGCACTGACATTCTCAGTCACCTAAGGAACAGTTGCTTTTCTGTTTTTCCCCATATATCACTCTAGTGATTTTCAATAGGGCTGAGCGATATGGTGCTTTAAATGTGATGTTCGATATTTAAATTATGATTTAAATAGTGTCTTTCTGACTGGATGTGCTGCAACTAAGCAATTTCTGTTTATTTGCTGACTTTAACACACTGGAAAAATATATAAAATGTACTACAACCTCTGCACAGACCAGATTTTATGTTTTTTTCCCATGATATGTTTTTTTGATATGTCCTATATGTTTTACATTGGCATTGCAACTTTTTACAATGTCTTTTTTGCAGGGACACATATCGCCATAACCATAAAAATGTGATTTATCGCGCACCTCTAATGTCCAGCTCTGTTTACTGATGTCTTTCCCATAGATCTGATCTAAGTGCAGATGTCACTTCAGTAACTGTTCCTGTTGAAACAACAGTCAGTTGAGCAGTGTTTGTAACTGAAGCTCCTGCCCTTCCCCAGTCCTGAACCCTTTCAAAGTCACTTAGATCTTTGCATCTTGCTATATTGATCCAAAACTGTGGTCAACTGGCCATTCCTATACGTACCACAGAGCATGGTAGGATGTTAATTGCTTAATTGTATCATGCAGTACACCTGTCTGGAAGCATCTGCATTTGTTATACTTCTGCACACATTTATTCCAGTTTTTCCTTTAATTTGTAACACGTCTGTCTGGATGTGTGATTGTAGGAGTCAGCGCTCCATCAGAGGAATCAGCTGCGAGCCGTTTGTGAAAAATGCCATCGTTGTCTGTCCCACGCAGAGCAGCTGGTGAGAGAGCAGGTACAGTAAGCTCTGTCTCTGTCTCTACTGAAAAGCTCAGCCTGTTCCATACTGACCCATCGCCTCTATGCTTAAGCATGCTTTAAGCATGTGGTGCGTACACTGAGCTGTGGCATACTGTATGACTCATGTGCACCAGGGGACTTGTGTGAAATGTGCCCACACTGCTTGAATTTGGTTTGTTTTTAATTTCCTGTTGAGTGCCCAGGGCTCCTGCTTTGGGTTTTTAATAGATTCTCGGTGCATGCCAAAGCTCTGCTGTGAGGTGCCTCTAACAGAGACTAAAGCAAATAAAGTAAATAAAAAAGATTCTGCTCCAAAAACTCAGAATTTGTTTAGAATTTGAGCACTACATAAAATTATTATTAAAAAATAAATTGTTTGTGTGTGTGTGTGTGTGTGTGTGTGTGTGTGTGTGTGTGTGTGTGTGTGTGTGTATATATATATATATATATATATATATATACACACACACACACACACGCATTTTATCATTAATTTGTTCGCTTATTGTTTCAGTACTGCCCAGTCTAAAAAGGCCGTATATATTAAATTTATGGTTAAAAAAATTGACCGTTTTGAATTCAGTATTTTTTTTTTTATGTATGTTTACCTACAGCCTACAGCTGTTTACCACCAGTCATCCAAGCTGAAGTTATAAGCAGTGTTTTAGCCTAGACTTGATTGAAGCACTGTACAGGGCAGCCAGTCAGAACGAAGGTCATTTGCATATGCCAGTCTTAAAGGGTCAGCAACCGTTTTAAGTGATACAATGACACTGGAAAACTTGTAAACTTGTAAAGAGGTGTAAGACTTAAGGAGAATAACAAAAAAGAAAATGGCCTCATTAATAGGGGAAATTCACCTTTTCACCTAAATAAATAAGATAAAATAATAAAGTTGATGTGATGAAATGCTCCATTCTAAAGAAACTTACCAAATCAGTATTGTTCACAGTGTTGGTGACAGAACCCAGATGTCAGAAGAGTTTAACGCTTCTAAAAGCTACCTTACAGGAAGTTACTACATGAAGTAATGACAAATATGCTGCTTGATGTCTGAGATATTGTTTTACGTTTGTTTTGAAATAATGTTTTGGCCTTTTTATTTTTAAGTCACATTTATAGTAAGGCAAAGTAGTCCTCAAAGAAAACTTAAGTTCCTCACTGTGCTCTAGTGTGTAATATACAACCTGTCTTGTGTTTTAAATAACTGTTTCTCAGGCATTCATGTGTTTGAGTGACATCCTCGTAGCCCATAACTACCAGCTGCAGATGTGGGACCCCTCAGCGGGTGCTCCTGTCTTGTATACCCCTGAACCCAAGCTCCAGAAAGCTCTGCTAAGCTTCGTGCTGGAGCATGTCTTCACCAGCCCTGAGCCAGATGGCCACAGCAGCAGAGGTAGCACTGTACTTCGTCTTTTATATCCCACACTCTGTCTGATGTATTTGTTTTAGCTATGAAGTCAGTAAACATCCACAAGTACTGTTGGAACAGTTATTGCACCAGGCAACCAGACGTTCATGCGACTTCATGACATTAATGTTGCATCTCGCTCAGAAAGACATGAGTTTCCTTTAGAATTCATCATTTTCTCTTTTGCTTTATATCTAGTGAATCATGTAAAATACACATAAATCAAACAGATAATTTGCTTAAAAGTTAATAACCAGTGGTTTAATAAAATCTGCTATACTTTACAGTAAATATTGTCTGCTTCCAGTAGATGGCAGTCTACCTCTATGTTGCTTTATACAGAGCAGACTAGTGCCTTGTTAACAAATAACATTCACGTTCATTCTTGTCTTGCTAATGACCTTTTTAACCATTTTCTGTTTGTTAATGAAATGGTTCACACGCTTTATATTATATATATAAATGCAAGCTAGATCAGACAGTTCAAATTAGTATGTTATTATTAGGTTAAAAATATTTTGGAGAGATAATAAAGAGTGAGTCTAAGACTGACTGCGCTTAATGTGAGCCCTGAAAACCAGCCCTGAGAAGGTTTCTTTGGACACATTTTAAGCATATGATGATAAAGTCTCCCTTAAGAGCAAATCAATACATAAATAAGTAAATGTGTGTTACTATTGTTTTGCTGTAAGAAATAACACAAATTCATGAGACTTCATCTGATTCATGGACATTTGATTATGAACCATTGCTGTCTCTAGGAAACCTGATAGGTTCTATGAATATTTCAGAGCTCCTGTGTTGTACTGGCCAAATTTCTAACCCATTGAAAATGCAATATGGGCTTTTGGAGCATAATATAATAAAAAGCAATTTAGCCATTCGATTTTCTCCGTGTCACTAATAGTGTTACACGTCTTCTCATTGAAATGATGGCTGCAGGTCCAGACAGGCTTAAACCAGACACATGCTTTTCTGTGAGAAAATGTGGTTAACTTTCACTCACCTCAGGAAAGCTTTTCACTTACAAGATTTAAGAACTGAATGGCATGGTTATACTCATCCTTTTCCACACGTCTGTTTTGCTTTGACCTCTCTCTCTTTCTCCCTCTTTCTCTTCATCTGTCTCTCTCTCCCTCTTTTTCTTTATCTCTCTCCATAACTCTGTCTCTCTTTCTGTCTGTCTCCTTCTCCCTTTTCTCACCTATTTTTCTTTCTCTTTCTTTCTTTCTTTCTTTCTTTCTTTCTTTCTTTCTTTCTCTCTGTCTCTCTCTCTCTCTCTTTGTGTGTTTCAGGCAGTGATAGTGAGTGTGGTGTGAGTCGGCTGGAGGACTTGCACAGACGGAGGAATCTGTTGGCTGCGTACTGTAAGCTGATAGTGCACAGTGTGCTGGAGATGAGCATGGCGGCCGAGATCTTTAAACAGTACGTGAAGGTACAACCCATCCGCCAGCTAACAGCTTCTCAACCTCTGAACCCTCTTGCTCTTTAATTCATTCAGTGAGATTAGGTAATAGCTGTGACTTGCACAGTGAATATACCAATGAATGAATGTCACATACGTTAGATTAGAGAAATCTGTTGTGTAGTATTACATGCAGGTTTTTACGTTACTGAAGATCAGTTCCAGCAGCTGTTACTGATTATTTATTTGGGAGTAACTTGCATGTTGTTTGACTTAATGTCAAATAGTAATGGGCACATTATGGTATAAGTTATGAAACAGACTAGGCTTCTTTGCTCAGTCCACCAGTTTACTTTTGAATTTATGAGTTGGCTGCAATGATCGTACAACACTGTGCGCGTGTGTGTGTGTGTGTGTGTGTGTGTGTGTGTGTGTGTGTAAGAGTGTTTGACACAGTGACATGTTTGGAATGCCTGTTGGGTTCGGCCCTGTCAGAGCCAGCAGTCTCTCATCAACATTCTTCTTGATCAGACCTTTATACACACGCACACTCACAGCTGCCATAATGAACGATGGCTTTCAAAGTCGAATAAACGACAGAAAGTTGGCGGCTGAGCGTAACCCCGTATTTGCTCGACTTCCTGTTTCTTCAAGGCTCCCCAACAACTGTTCGCTTCTCTGAGCTATTGAACAAATGCCAGTTTCACCACCAACTACACCCTTTCGCATACGTTTCTAAAAGCAAACCCCGCAGTGGTGAAAAGGCAGCTGTTGTGTGATGGAGATACAGTAGGCGGTGTGTTTGGTTGTGTTATAGATAGCATTGCACTGATACTGTATCGTTATCAGCCTCGATGCTGGCACTAAAATAGAGAAACAGTATCGACAACAGAGAGTACCGCTTGCATGCGCACCAGTAGTTTGAGCTACATGTCGGAGAAAACAACGTGGCATTATTTCATGCTTGAGATAAGCAGTAGTAAAAATGCTCATTGCTAAATCTGTAATGCCAGCTTTTTGGGGGAAGGCACAAACAGCAAGGATTTAAAAACATCACATTTACTTAAGCTTTTAAAGCTAAACCATGTCAGACAGCACAGTCACTTAAATAGCTCTGAAACTATTAGAATGTGAAGTTATCCAATTACCAAATGCCATTCATTTAAGCTTACTATGTTTTATTTGTGACATAGACTGTTTTTTTCCCAAATAAAATATTTAAAATGTCAGGATTTATAGGCACCTATCGGGGAAAAAGATTACAGTCAAAAATACTTGAGGATCAGGTATGACTATCAGAAAAGGAAAGAGTAGTATCAGTATAGATGAGCAGCTAGGCTGGTGTTGTTCTCCTCAGCGGCTCAGTCTGCCTCTCACTGGCTGCAGAGTCTATGTTACAGAGGATTTGTCTGATCCAAAAGGGGTCTCCAGTCACAGGGAGATGTGGACTCATAATCTCTCTGGCTGAGAGGGCAGGAGGGCCAGACCTGTTGCTCTGATGCTGATAGAGCCTAGTCCAGGTCAGCTTGCAGGGCAGCAAATATCTACTGGAGCACTGCAGTTATTATTTAAGGCATTGAGGGCTGATGGTGTTGAGTGTAGAGGACTGATGGGGAGTTTGGGATCTAACTGGTTGCTTGTTGACAGGTGTAGTGCAGGTTAGCGTGAAATTTAATGAAACTAGTTCTCTTGAATACTCTTCTGCTACCAGAATAATTCTGGCATTCTCTTATATGTGTAATGTAAAAACAGTAATAATAATAATAATAATAATAATAATGAAAATGACAAACAATAATAATAAACAAATAATATATATAATACATAATATAATAATGATGTATTTTATTTGTATAGCGCCTTTCTCAGAAAAAAGGTCGCTTGTTGCAAGTTTTTAGCAAAATCCAAAAACTTTCTTTAAAGTCAAATTGGCCTTGTTTTATTACCTGAACATATGAAACAAATTAGCACATTCCCAGAACATTCTCTTAGCGAAGTCAGAGTATAAATAAAATTTTTTGCTCTTTAATGGGTAATTTATTTAGCGCACTGACTCATGCATAATTAAGCTATGACGTTTTGGTACAGGTGTAACACGTGGCTCATGTATTTACGTCCTAAAATTTGTTACACAAATCTGCCAAAATAAAAATAATAAATTGGCCCATTGTTGACTGGAACAGAAAGCCACTGATTTTACAGCAGCAATGCATTTAAGACAAAGAGGTGAGCCTCACTATTCCAAACCTGCTGTACAGAAAATGTGAGGGTCCTACATACAGATCACAGTTCCTTAATAGTTTTGTTCAGTAATTTAATGACCTGTGGTATAAATGAAAATTTTGCTCCGTTGGTAACTAAAGCTGGGGTCCGATAACTTCAACCAGTTGGCAGCACCTTGGATCAGAACTGATTTTCACTGCTTTTCTAAGAGATTTGAACTTAGAAATATTTTCATCTGGTGATGTGGATGATCTACAAATGCGGGTGTCCTGCTATACATACATACACATTTACACACACACACACACACACACACACATATATATATATATATATATACAACAACGTTTTCTTGTGATTCTTTAGATTACACTGCAATTTGATTATGGAGGAACCAGCTACATTATTTTGTCCAAAAAATTATTGCACACTGAGTATTATCATAATTGAATTCAAAAATCAACGCAGCTGTTTCCCCATTTTTTCCAATGCATTAAAACTTTTTTGCACTCCTAGTAGGAAAGATTAATAGTCTGTGAACACCTGAGTATTTCCATTTGTTGTAAGATGACCCTCACTGTGTGGACATGTGACCCTAATACAGTACATGCATGATAATGCTGGTAACTTTATTTGGATTTACAACATCATAAAAGAACTTTGTGAAGTAATGTCCTTTGGCAGTCTCTTGCAGGTAATAAAGGCTCTGCTGTAGGGCGACAGGTTGAATATCAGTCTGCCTCACTGCTACAGACAGATCTGGCGTTCTGGCCATGAGGGCACACGGCAGTCCCAGAGTCATAGTGGCAGTACAGCTTTAGGAGTCCCTAAACACTTACTGCTCTTCTTTTCTCTGCAGTACTACAACGACTTTGGTGACATCATCAAAGAGACTTTGAACAGGACGCGGCAGATGGACAAGATTGAGAGCGCACGCACTCTGGTTCTTTGCCTACAGCAGGTATTACGCCACTCTTTCTCTTTCTCGTATCAGACTCTGCTCTCTGGGACACATCTGCCTGGTCCAGACCCTCGGTGCCCTCTGCTTGTGGATGGGCCTCTGCTGCTGTCAGCACCTCACAGACACAACGACACCCCCCTCCGTCACTATGAGCGGAATGTTCTCGCAGCTCCTCCATTCTCTGAATTGCTTAATGGTAGATCCCTGTGGGGAGGAAGGCTGATAAGAGAAGCACTGATCACACTGCTGAGAGCAGCTTTTTCCTCTGAGACAGTTTTAAGGACAGTAAGAGCTACTATAGTTCAGTCACTCTGGATGGCTTCATATTTGTTGTGCATTAGTGGTGATTTAGTGATTTAGATGCATGTTGTATCTCAAACCCTGGACTGGCTACCAGAGGGATCAATCTCTGACCTCAGAACAGTTAAGTTGTGATTCTTTAGGGGAATAATCAGTGCTTGATGAAATCTCATATGTCACCGTAATTTGATTTGATTTAATTATTTCAATATGATTTTTTTTTTTTATAATTATGTATGTTTTTTTTTAATCTAACCTTAGCCAGTTCCCACCTCTAGCTAGGTCTCCCCTCAGCACACAGTGCTACCGTGCTGGGAGAGTGAATGCTTGCACATTCTTCCTTTCTTCCTCAGAACTAACAGATGCCCACATTGGCTAGCATCATGCTGAGTGATGGGAGGAGAAGAAAGACCATTCTACCCACCCACAGATAGCATTGCAGGGGATCGAACTTGTAATCTCCCGATGATGTCGCCAATGCTTATTTATAAGCTTAATAATAACCTTTATTTATATAGCACTTTTTTAATTTATTTACAAAATCGCAGAGTGTTTGACAGAGGAATATGAACAAAGCATATACAGAGCTTGTTGCCCAAAACCATAGGCATTAATATGGAGTTGCCCCCTTTGTGGCTGTAACAGCCTCCACTCTTCTGGGAAGGCTTTCCTCAAGATTTTGGAGTGTGTCTGTTGGAATTTCTGCCCATTCAGTCAGTAGAGCATTTGTGAGGTCAGACACTGATGTTGAGGCCTGGCTCACACTTGACATTCCAGTTCATCCCAAAGGTTTTCAGTGGGGTTGAGGTGGGGTTTGGCAGGCCACTGGAGTTCCTCCACACCAAACTCGTCAAACCATGTCTTTTGCTTTGTGCAAATGGTCACAGTCATGCTGGAACAGGAACAGGCCTTCCCCAAACTGTTGCCACTAAGTTAGAACCATATAATTAAAATCTAAAATGTCTTTGTATGCTGTAATATTAACATTACCTTTCACTGGAAGGGGCTGAGCCGAAACCAGCCCCAGACCATTATCCCTCCTACACCAAACTTTACTGTTGGCACTACAACATACTGCCAGACAGCGAAGTGTGATTTATCTCTCCGGAGAACATGTTTCCACTCCTCCAGAGTCCAGTGGTGGAGTGCTTTACACCAGTCCAGCTGACGCTTGTCTTTGCACATAGTGATCTTAGGCTTATGTCCAGCTGCTCGGCCATGGAAACCCATTTCATGAAGCTCCCAACACACAGTTCTTGTGATGTTGATCCGGACTGCCTCTGGAAGCTCTGTAGTGAGTAATGAAACAGACGATAGGCAATTTTTATGTGCTACATACTTAGCACTCCACAGCTCTGCTCTCTGAGTTTGCGTGGTCTGCCACTTTGTTGTTGCTCCTAGATGTTTCCAGTTCAGTCATACCACTTACAGTTGACCTGGGCAGATCTAGCAGAGCAGAAATTTCACAAACTGACTTGTGGCAAAGGTGGCATCCTGTGACAGTGCCAAGTCACTGAGGTATAACACATTCTACTGGCAGTGTTTGTCTATGGAGATTGCATGGCTATGTGCTTGATATTATACATCTGTCAGCAATGGGTGTGGCTGAAACAACTGAACTCAGTAATTAGGAGGAGTGTCCACATACTTTTGGTCATATAGTGTGTAGAATTTTGCCTGAGAATTTTATTTTATTTTGCCAAATAATTAGCACTTACTGAAAACTGAATATTGTTCTATGAGATTGTAATCTATTCCAACATTCCAAAATCAGTGGAGCTGAACTGTAGCCTTCAGATCTGTGGTGCCCGATCTTGATGATCTACCACCCTGCAGAGTTTAGCTTCTACCCTAATCTAACACATCTGATTCAGGTGATGAAGGTGTTCAGGGGCATCTGAACACAGTGGCAGATGTGTAGAATCTGAGTTCTCCAGGTTGGTAAATGTCCAGGACCAGGATTGCGCACCCCTTCAGATTCATGCATCACGACACATCCGTGCATTTTTAAACCACCTGTAAGCTACTCTGTCTGTTGTCCTCTCTGTATGTTCTTCTAGCTGTATCTGCGTCTGAAACAAGAGCAGGACAGTGGGAACACATGCAGCTTTGCTGTGCAGACATACAGCAGCATCAAAGAACTGGCCAGACGCTTCTCGCTCACTTTCGGCTGGGACCAGATCAAATTCCGCGAGTCTTTAGCCATGATCCACAGGTACTGCTGCTCACTCCAAACAGCAGAATCACAGCTGATTTCACTGAAATGCACTGACGTAAATACTGTGTGTAAACATACATGTCTGGGATGCACTGGGAGGTTTTATGTTCTTTAGTGATTGCAGAACTAAAAGTTTGATATTTCGCGTATACGCAGCACAAATGAGGGACTGAAATAGCCTTCAAATACATTTGAACAGTCTTCACTGACCAAAGCATTTTTGTTCCTCTGCAGGGATGGCATTGAGTTTGTGTTCCAGGGTTTTGTTCAGGAGTCTGAAAAGCACTCTCCTCCGAACATCTCCTACCTCACCATCCTCAGCGAGTTCTCCAGCAAGCTGCTCAAACCTGACAAGAAGACGATGTAAGTCAATCAGTGCTGCAGGGAGAGACCAATCAACAGTACATACAATAGCAGATCAGACTGAGAAACACACTCAACAATATCTTCCTATATAATGTATATTTTGGGTGTTGCATCAGGGTAAACATGTCTTTGGAATCGTCATATTAAACTTTAATCAGAAAATCTGTAGGTCATTTGTCTGTAGGTCAACTGAACAAACAGGATTTTTTCTGCTGTTTGCTCCTCAGATACAGTTACCTGCAAAGATATGCTGGTGAGCAGACCATCAATAACAGGGAGGAGTGCTGGATGCCTCTCATTTATTACAGAGCGTCTCTCCAGGGCACAGCTGAGGGAGAAGATGCTGTGTCCTTCATCAGCTCCGACACTAACAAACAGCCGTCGCTCACCAATCGTTCCAAATCTCCCTCCATCAGACAGGCCACTTCTGAAGGTACCAGCTCTCAGAAGGTCACAAAGTCAGCAGTTTTAATAGAGGCACTACACAACTGCACTACGTTGTAACATACTTTTTTGTAAAAAGGATAAAATGTGCAGACCTTAGTAAAGTGTCTTTTACTCAGAGGTTTGGTTTACAAATGTGTTTACAGGAGATCCACGATTACCACCACCATGTATAGAAACAAAAGGGAGCAAGCAGCTGAAGAGGTATGAAATAAATAAGATGAATTAGGCCCATCAGTTTCTGGTGCAGATGTTGTGCATTCTGCTTGCATGTTATGTACAAAACTGGTGTACCAGCCTATAATTGCAATTTATGCAGTATGTACATAAGGCTGGGCAGTATGACAGTATTTCTTGTTATCATGATAAATTATGTCACAGTGTGCTTTTCTGAGCCTATTGTCAGTACTTAATACACTTCCCAACTGCTTGTTTGATTACAAAGAGAATATAAATAGTCCTGTTTTATTAGATTTAGTGCCACACAGTATGTGAAATCGAAAAGGTTTTTTATATTTTGTTCCAATTACTAGACTTTGAACAACTAGTGGTCGCCAAATTTGTGTGCATTTTTGTGTGCGTTTTTTTCTGACCTTTAAAAATGAGTGGTATTTCCTAAAACAATGGCTGCAGTCATAACAGCTAGAAGGATGCGTAGGCCTTAAATATTGTTTACCAACAGAATATCACTTTCAAAGTGGAATTTTTTAACTGGAGTAGAATTTTGTATATTTTTTTATTGTGGAATAGCATTTATTACATCACTTTGTTGCTGAACTTGCTTTTTTAATTTTTCAAGTTTGCTGCTGTTTTTGCCATTACACTGTGCCTCCTATGTGCACTTCGTGATTAATATCAACATTCAGAAATCTTGATACAGTGCGAGTGCATATTGTGGCTGCGCTAGGACGTTTTGCAATGCACCTTCTCACATCTGGCCCTGAGTGTAAAATGTATACACTTTGTTAAAGACTTTCGTTAATGTGAAGTTAACGAGTTAATCTGCATGTTCATTTAGTGCTTAACACATTTAAAATGTACATGATTAACGTGATTTTTTTTTTATTGTTTGACACTTCTTTACTTTTCTATTTGTAGTTTAGAGGAGCTGAGAGTCACAGAGCAGGGTCCAGCACTCAGAGAGCAGCCACACTGCGATGGACCATCTGACACCCAGCCAAGGACCACTACTGATGAGGTTGATGTGGACACAGTAGAAATAGATATATGATGCACGGGTTTAGTCCTAACAGAGGTCCAGTTTTTTTTTTCACCAAGTTAGGGAGTGAGTAAGTTCACTGAAGTTCCTCATCAGGATATCTATATGACTTCACTGTGGGACAGTTACTGTAACCAATGATGAAAGATGTTGGTGCTGAAGACATTTCCAATTTAATCAAGCTTAATTAGATTAATTCATTTTTTTTCTTGCACAAAACCAGATCTAAGCTAAAGGCTTAGAAGGTGCGGTCTGCCTCCCTTGCTTGTATGTTGTATTATTGCGGTAAATTAAGAGTCTGTTATTAATAGACTTGTCAGAATGTTCAGGCTTGACAAAAATATGAGACCTGCTACACTTTTTAATTGCCACTTCTGTTTGATGTGGATACATCATTTAGCCCTGCTGTCTTCAACTGAATAGACATAGATTGAAAGTCTTGGTGGACCTTACTTGTGAGTGACCTCTAAAAAGATGAACTGACCCACTGTAAGGCTTGTAATATCCCCTTAGGAAAATCATGCACTGCAGATGTTCTCAGTCAGTGTTCAAACATTCAATATTATTTTTAGGGCTGTGCAGTGTGATTATGTATACAGATACTTGGCAACACATGGAATAATGGAAACACCAGGGAAATGGAATCATATTTTGAAATGACTAATTCAAATCTGCACATGCACATGTCTTGTATTAAACTTATTCTACTGTGTTTATCATATTATCAAAAAATCAGAAAAATCTAGCCATTATCAGATGCTGCCAAACATTTTCAGGTTTCAAAATAGACTGCGTCCAATATTATAAAGACGAAGGGCAGCCTGACAAGTTATTAGTATATTCATACTCTGATTGGTGTTTCCATCATTTTGTTGTATGAAGTTACAGCATTAGCGGTCGATTTACATACAGGGGTTAAGCCAAAGCCTGGACTACACTTTCCTTTTAATGAAGAATCTCCATGCAGAGTGCTGTACAGTCTGGGACTATACAGACGGGCTTTATCTCTCTCTGAGTAACCAACTCTAGATCTGAATACTGCAATATTGGGACATGGCATTGCATAGTGCATTGTTTAGTTTGACCCCAAGTTCATGACTGTTAACTAAAATGAGTAAAGAATACAAATAATTCATCAAGTATGCCACAGATTACATCCCTGTATGGTGTGATGCCATTGTATGTAGATACATCTTGTAAATAAGGCTAAACTTAAGTGTTCATATTTTTTTCCCCTGAATTCTCTCCCTAATTTAGACATGTTCAATTCCACCCACTAGTTAGGACTCCCCCCAGTCACACAATACCACCAGTGCTAGGAGGGCGAAAGCTTGCACAGGCTTCCTCCGAGACTTGTAAAGCGCTACAGCATCTTTTCAAACTGCTGCTAACGCAACATCATTGGACAGCTGAATGCGCTTGGGGGAAAGCACCAACTGTTCTGTACTGAGCTAGCATCGCGCTGGGTGATGGGGGGGCCATCCTGCCCACCCAGAGAGAGCGAGAACAGTTGTGCTCTCTTGGACTCCCGGCTACGGATGGCTGTAACATCACCATGGACCCACCCCGCGATCTGATGATTAGGGCCCATGCTTAGACGATTGTGCCACTCTGGAGCCTCATATTCATATATTTTTACTCTCATTCCATTTTATTCAGCTTCTACAAATATTAAGCTATATAAAACCTTGTAGTTAACTGAATCACTGTTCTGGCAATTTTTTCCAAATGTGAAAACATGAACATGTTCATGAGGATACTAAAAACCTTCTGAAACACAGTTTAGTGTAATAAGCTGTTTTAATATGGCATAATTTATTCACCTTTTATTGGTTAGAAGTGTATCTTTATCATAGTGGTGTTTATTTTGAACTACAATTCCTCCTGCTGCACCCTTTACTGTTTTTGTTTAAGATTGCTTTTTTAAACTACATTTTAAGTAATTCATACTTTGCTAAATCCTCAGCTCAAATTCAGCAGATTTTCTGGGTGTGGTATTTGTCATTGGATTGAGATGTAGTACCTATTTTGTTTTTCATTTTTTATATTATAGGTGTAAATTATACACCTAATTTATTGGTAAACAGATACAAAAATTAGGGATCAGAAACAGTTCACAACATGGAAATTAACCACAGAGAGAAAAACATTTTCATGGAACAAGAATAGAAACCGTAAACAAAGCCATTTGCAATTTGTTCTGAAGTAGCAATATTACGTAAAAGATTGCTTAAATTATATTTAGCTCTCTCCAGCATTTGAAATGCAGAAAATCTGAATATGAACAGACAAAAAAAAGTTTACCACATTAAAAAACAGAAGAGAATATAGTCAAGAATTAAAGACGATTTTGTCTGTAACAAAGGAAAATATTTCTTTTTCCAGATACAACCCACATACTCAGAAAATTAGTTTCAAACCATGTTTTTCAGATCATTCACAGGAAACACTGGGAACAAAAGGTATTTAAGGGACGTTGGAAGCGTATTAGTATCTGTCATATTTACAGTAAGGGGAAAAAAAGAGTGTGGTCAGTGACTGTAGTTTCTGCCTCAAGTGAGACTAACACAATGTCATTTAACAGCTTCACCTCAATACCACCCCCCAAAAAACTCTTCATGACAAATTCCTTTATTCAGATACAAATGTTGCTTACAGCTGGTGTCCGATTTGTCTGTTAAAGTATTTAAGTTTGAATGGTCTGAATGTAAATTGTACACTGTACTTGACTGTTATTGACATCTATGTATTGGGGTCTATGGCAGCTGTTTCACCATAATGACCATGTTTCTATGTATGTAAAATAAAAAGTAACGTTTTCTTATATGAAAATTGCAGCACTGCAACATTCATTCAAATGAACAGGACTCCTCATAAACAGGATGAATGGACTTACTTTATTCGAACTCATAAAAAGGGTTAATTTTTCCATTTTCCCCAAAGTACCTTGTTTAAAGTACTTTTATAGAAAAACAAAAAAACAGAAAACATGAACACGATTAAAACATTTAGCTGAAGTAAACGTAACACTGAACAAAACACAGCAAGCACAAAAATATATACAACTATTTATAAATACTGTCTATAATTTAAAATAGCTTTCACATCTGTGGAGCAGAAAAGGTTAGAGGCTGACAGGTTCATTATTTTTAAAACGGTTCTTTCCCTAGAAGGTCCTGTGAGGGTATGAGGCATTTTAGGCACCTAAACACAGCTCATTTATAAATACACTGTCCATGAAATCAAGCTTAAATTACTTTGGTTAATCTCTGGAATGTTATATTGGCCAATTAAAATGTTAATGTTATATGTGTAGTGCACATTCAGTATTTCAAGTGTACCTCAAAGACCAGGCGTTAGGTTCCTGTGCAGTTACTTGCCAGGCCTGGTGCGTATTTAGTGCCCATCATGCATATATATAGCTGTATTAGCAGTCAGGGTTTGTGGAGGTGATTCTATTCGACTGAGCTGCTGGACTAGCACAGCCTTTCCTCTCTAAATGTATTTGACCAGGATATTGCCGCTATCATATCTTAAAACCCTGGAACACGCTCTTGGCCAGTTAGAGCACAGGCGTCAACTTGAGAGCTTCTGCAGGTGCTCTGCTGACATCCTGTCTAGATGCTGGCTACTGGCGAGGTTTTAGTGCAGTCGGCCTGTGTTGCTGTGCTCTGCCGGGGGTGGCTTTTCTCTGGACAGTTTTGATCTTTGCAGTGCGACGGTGGCTTTCATTCAAAATCATCCACATACTCATACTCATCCAGGTCCAGGTTACAGTGAGGATTAGGAATCTCAAACAAATGCCTCTTCTCACTGCGCAGGTCAAACTCGCTGGACATGTGGTGGTTAATCGGGTCCAAGGCGTTTTCATAGCTGTTAAGAAAATATGAACAATTACTCTTAGTCCTGTTAATGCTGTGCAATATGAACAGTGCCAAAACTGATTCCACTGAATGCCACTCAAAAATAAAGAGGAAAAAAGAGGGAGACCAATCAATGACCAAGTTTTCACTGTTGGAACACTGAACCAATCCCACTATCACACTGACCCGAAGTGTGAATAACAATAGTGGGCGGTAAAATTTATATCACTATATAATTAAAATATGACAATTTCTGCATACATCACGGTATATATGCATTTTTAAATTAAAACATTTTAGATGCTCAGGTTCTGATGCGGCATCTTTGTTCAAATTTTACATTTCTCTTTTAAGAGCAGCAGTTATGTTCTGGCACATGTACAGGAGCTTAAATGTACCTGCAGCACCATTTAAGGTGGAAGGGGAAATTTGAATAAGAAGCCAACTTCAGCTTCATTAAATTTCTCTAGTGATTTATTTCATACACGTGTCCCATACACTTGTGCCCCTGCCCCTTAGAGACTGTTGGAATCTGGAAAACATTACAGTCACTGACAAAGTCAATACAACTTGGTCTATGGCTTGTTTTGCGGACAAGGCCGGGACACTGCTGCACCGTCTGGTGCAGCTGACAGTCAGGCGACTCCTCAGCCAGGCCTCGCTGCTTTAGTGTCCATGTTAGGCTAAGACTAACTCTAAAAAGACCAGCAATTCTCTTATGCCCGCAGCCACAAAAACAATGTGGACTACTTTAGATGCAACACACTCAGGTCTCATGGTCTGCTGCTTTTTTATTTTCATTTGAAACATGATTGAAACATCCCTGCCTTAGCTGCCCAGCTGAAGGGGGAAACATTAGCAGGGTTTCCACTGTTTGTTGGAATATATGAGCTTATTTGTGGTATACTGGTATAACAGTTGTGGACTACAAGCTAATTTTGGTTGTTTGGTTCAGAGTCCAACACTGAAAACGTGGATCTTCACATTAACAGAGCTTGTTCAACTTTGGAAACAGCAGGTAAAAGGGTGAAAAGAGTGAACAGATGAGCCTTTAGGAACAAGACCACTTCACAGTGTGAACACAGGAAGCACCTACACCCTGCACTTACATTATCTTACCTGTAGGCCTCAACACAGAGGCTGCCTTTAGAAGTCAGTGGTGTTCCTAAAACCACCACATAAGAACTGGTCAAACAAAACATTTAAGCCCTTCCAATCTTTTACTGTAGTGAACAGTAATGTATGGTAGTACAGCAAGTACAAGGCATGGTCAATAGTTTATTGCTGACAGAGTTGCTTTTAAATTCTGTTAAGTCCAGGAGACATTAAAGCAAATAAGGACTCATCAAGCCAAGAAGATCCTACAGTGACATGTGAAACAGAACAATTTCACTAGTACTAAATTTTACACTGCTCATCTTTTCTTGCCCAGAAAAAGCCACGTGTGCTGCTAACAAAGGCAACAGAACATTGTTCATTTAATACAAAATGCAAAATCCATACTTGTTCAGCATTTGCACATTTTAAAATATATAATTTTATTCATTATCTGTTTTTGAAACTAAAATTCATCATCTTGTGTAGATTAAGAACTGAATGAATCTAAATGTGTACTTAGTGAAAATACACCCTGGAAGATGGACATATTATAAGCTGAGAGCCAGAGCTCTGTGATACTCCATGATGTTAATGAGGCAATTTGGGTCAAGATATGACAAGCGAACGGTGTGAAATGCTGATGAAATCCTGATGCTTTACCCATCATTGTACTGCTCGTTGGCGGTTTCCTCAGCCACCAAAATGTCGTACTCTTCTGCAGCATATCTCTCCCAGTCCGAAATCTCCTGCCCCAAAGTCTCAGCATCCTGGAAAGAGATAAATAATAGTTTATTACACTGCCACTTGTCTAAACATACTGAACATTCCAAACGCTGGTGGTTATTACCTTTGCAAGCATAAAGGGATCCTTCTGTTCATGATCCAGATATTTCTCAATATTGAAAAAAGTGTCAAAGAATATATGAGCTAGCTTGCATCTCTTCAAATCCCGGAGGGTGATTTTTCCTAAAGAGAACAAGACTTCCGTATTAGCATGTTTTGATGAGCTATAGTCAACAAACATTCTGTGCATTTATCATCACCTGTGCAAAATTTACAAAATAGGAACCTAGTCTTTCAGTCATGAGCCTAGACGTGCTTACAATTACTCTTAATGGCCTCTTAATGGTATGTGGTCACCCCTTCTAATTAGTGGGTTCAGCTATTTCAGCCACGCTTCTTGCTGGCAGGTGCCTAAAAATCAAGCATATAGTCATGCAATCTCCATAGACAAAACACTGGCAGTAGAATGAGTCATACTGAAGAGCTCAGTGACTCTCAGTGTGGCTCATTCATGTCACCTTTTCAACAAATCGTTTCTTAAACTTCTGCCTTGCTAGAGCTGCCCTGGTCAACTGTAAATGCTGTTATTGTGAACAGCTTAGCTGTAAAGTGGTAGGTCAAACAAACTGACTGAACAGGACCAGTGAATGCTGAAGTGCACAACACAAAGTTCTACATTGCCTCTTAAAGCAACGCCGGCATAAGAAATGTTTGTCAGGATCTTCATGAATTTTATTTCCATGTCAGAGCATCCGCCAGAGCCTAAGATCACCAGGATGAAGAATAGTCCAGGGCTCTTCTTCATAGTTTGAGCTGGGCCCGTTTGTTCCACTGAAGCCAAATCTTAAATGCTGCAGCTATACAATGACATTCTAGAGCAGAGGTTCCCAGTCACAGGCCTGGCATCCCCACACTATGTACACTGTGTTTTTTCTCCTCTAGCAAAACTGAGTTCATTAACTGATTAACACGCTAATCATAAGCATGGGGTCACTAGGACTAGGACTGGCACTGGGAACCCCTGGTTCAAAGAATTTTGCGCTTCAAACTTTTTTGCAGCAGTTTGGGAAAGACCGTTTTCTATTTCAGCACTGGCCACATGCATAAAGTGAGAATCATAAAGAAATGGTTGGTATGAAATAACTTGGAATGCACAAAGGTCTGACTTTAATTCCATCAAACGCCACTGGGATCAACTGGAACGCCGACTTATCACCTAGCATTAGTGCAAAGGGGAACTTGTGCTGGAATGTGATGTTCAACATGTTTGTGTGTCTTCTTACATACATATATGTACACATATACATATATTATACACACACACACACACACACACACACACACACACACACACACACACCTACCTGGGACTTCTGGCCTGACCAAGTCCAGCATTTGGCAGAGGCAATCCTCAAAGGGAAGGGGTTCAATGGCCATAGTCTCTAGCTTCTGACACTGTTCTTGATAGAAGTACTGCAGCTCATACATGGACAGGACACCATCGCCATCTAAGTCCATACACCGGAACCAGTACTCTATGCTACAGGGCCAACAGTCAAACAGTCATTATAAATTATTCAGGCCACCTGCAGTAAAGCTCTCATTTCAGTCAACAATAGCTTGTCATCAAAACACTAAAGTTATTTAAAAAGTCATTTTTAAATTTCAAAAATGTACCAACTTATTAATTTGGCATAAAATGTATGTAATACGACAAACTAATAGTAACCCACAATAAGACATAAATCAGAAAAAAAACTGCAAAATATAGTATATAAGAAGTTCAAAGATGTAAGCCAGATGACTGGCAGGTACCTGGTCTCAGCCTTTTTGTCTTCCTCTGAGATGAGGAACCACACAAAGTCAGCGTAACTTAATCTGCCCTCTTTATGGACCTTCCTGTCTCTGAACATCACAACAAATAAAAAAAAATAAATTAATTATACAAGACTTATATAACTGTGATGGAAAGATATTACATTAAAAATGTCTGAGATTTGATTTTTGTAAACATAATAAACACATAAACACCTTTACCTTGTAACAGTTCCTGAGAATATTCTCTCGATCATTCTTTGAGAGATTGCTGGCCGGAGAGGGGAAAAAAACAAACAAACAAAAAAAACATTACAAACCTGACAAGTAAAAGTTTGCAAGTGGACACAGTGGAGTGTCAAAGGTTGTCAGCCTGACTTAGTTGCATTTAGTTGTTAACTTTCCAATCTTTTACCATTCCAAAACAAAGAATTGGTTTAAAAGAGACAGATACATTTGAGTAGCAGACATTGCATCATAATGTAGAAAATGCACAGTGAGAGGGAGCTGGTGTCATTGATCTTAGGCCCTCCAATAACTGCAGGACTAAGCAGGACCATGTGCTGTGATGTGGTGAAGTAAGGAAAAGACATTGGACTTCATACAGCAATGTAATGCCAGTACTATCCCATTAATGCTACATATTATGGCAAACAGCCAGTTGTCCTAAGTGTACAGAGATTGGACTTATACCTTGATCATTGTGCCGTGCCAAGTCCCTCTGATCTATGTATAGATCATGGTCAGTGTCCAGCTCCCAGAATTTACAGTAGATGACATAGAAATGTTCATACGAGAAGTACTCCGTCAGCTGGTTAACATCATCTTCCTCTTCCAGAAGGGCCAAATTCTGTCAAATGATATCTTGTCTATGAGGCACTGATTAGGAAGCAGCAAAAGGCAAAAGCAAAAGACAAGGTAATAATCACAGAAGCCATACGAACCTGAAGGAAACTGCTTTTCCTGAGTTCTGAACATGTTATTTTTCCTGTCCACGATCGGTTTACATTATAAAATATTCTCTGAATGACCTGTTGGCAGAAGACATTTCACAGTGAGTAAATCTGCAATTCAAAACTACACTGTAAGCGTTCATTTAAAAGGGGCAATGACATGACACAGATCATGTCTCCTTTATTTTGCTATTAAATCATTAAATACTGACAATACCTCTTTATGTGAATACATTTTCAGTACATCACAATAAAACTCATTTTAGGCCTCCCAAAGTCTAAAAATGTCAGGTGATACAACTGTTCAACCATATATTGATACACAGATTAAATATATCACTGTTTCCAAAAATGTTGGGACGCTGCGCAAAACGAAAATAAAAACAACGCAATGAAGTGCAAATCATTTAAACCCTATCTTTAATTAAAATAGTACAAAGACAACATATCAAATGTTGAAACTGAGAAATTGTATTGTTTTTTGAAAAATATACACCCATTTTGAATTTTATGCCAGCAACACGTTACAAAAAAGTTGGGACAGGGGCATGTTTCCCACTGTGTTGCGTCACCTCTTCTTTTAACAACAATCTGTAAGCGTTTGAGACCTGAGGAGACCAACTGCTGCCGTTTTGTTTCCCATTCTTGTTTGATATAGGATTTCAGCTGCTCAACAGTTCAGGGGCTCCTTTGATATATTTTTTTGTTTCATAATTCGCCAAATGTTTTCAATGGGTGACAGGTCTGGACTGCAGGCAGGCCAGTTTAGCACCCAGACTCTTATTACGTGCAGAATGTGGTTTGACACTGAAAACAAGCAAGGCCTCCCTGAAAAAGACGACATCTGGATGGCAGCATATGTTGCTCAAAAACCTGTATATCATATGTATATATTGTTCAGCATTATTGGTGCCATCACAGATGCTGGCTTTGAAACTGTACACTGACAATAAGCCAGATGGTCCCTTTCCTATTTAGCCTGGAGGACACAATGTCCATGATTTCCCCCAAAAAACCTTTGATTTGTTGAACCACAGGACACTTTTCCACTTCACCTCAGTCCATCTTAAATAAGCTTGGCCCCAAGAAGGCAGCAGCGTTTCTGGATCCTGTTTATATATGGTTTCTTCTTTGCATGGTAGAGTTTTAATTTCTGTGGATGTCACACGACACTACCTTAATTCTGACATGCTTTAAAAAAAAACAAAAAAAAAAACAACAACAAAAAAAGGGCAGTGCTTTGCACCATAAAGAAGACCCCAAGTCACCTTCATGGTAATGCTTATGTCGATATCCCTTTTTTTCCCATAAAAATACTGAAAAAATTGTCACTTTTCCAAGTCAGGTTGTATGACCCCAGGAAAACAATGAAACTGTATTATTATTATTATTATTATTATTATTATTATTATTATGTTTAATGATTTGGAAAACAAAAAAATAAACAAAATCCCCACAAAAAACAAACCCGAGTTCAATATCAGTTCTTATGGTTGTGTAAGTACAAAGACTAGTTTATACACATTTTCAGTGGAAAATAACTTTACAATATAATACTTATTTTTAATGTATAGTTGCACCACTTGATATTTTCTGGACAGTAAAATTAAAGAGTCTATTTAAAAATAAATTTATACCATTATAAAACACATCAACACATCAAAAAGACTGTCTCCAAAAAAGGCACATCACATCCGTTTTTTCCCTCTTCACTGTCATTACTCTGTCTTGTTTGTCACTGACCCAAAAATGTCTTGGTTGATGTCAAATGTGCAAATCTATATCCATAAATCTACAAAATTTTATGTGCATAAGATAGCAAACTGTTTCAAACAGACAAACATTTGTTATTGTGTTACCCTTACCGTGGTAATGTAGCGTGAGTGAAAGTCCGATGCCTCCTTTAGAAAAGCAAGCCCTGTATGCGAGTCCACCACATCCTTAAGGAAAAAGAACAGGGTTTCATAATGCTTCTCGCAACAATATCACATCAAAGCCCATGCAGAATAAATGACAGTCAGATGAGTCAAAAGCCATTTTTTGTGCTATGGGTCTCTGGTTTCGATTAGAGAAAGAGAGACCATCGTTTGGAGTGCCCATTTGCGAATGACACCATAGTGATAGAGGACGTGTAGACGTCTTAAAGGTAATGGAAACTTACTGAAATCCTAAGAACAAAAGGGGGCCTTAAATGGAAAAACAATACAATAGCTTAGGTCTACCACAGCCCTAGCTGAGACCCCACATATGTGGGATGCAGAATTTTTGGTCTAGTGAATTCTACATCCAATTGGGTGTTTTAATGCACATATAAGAGTCAGATGTGTTTGTGTTTGATGTGTCTGCGTAGGAGGCAATAAAATTTAAAGTGACTTATTTTGGGGGAAGTTCCGGACTCCTTGACCCTTCTCATACGAAATTAAATAATAGAAAAACACATAAATCACCTCTCCTTGAGAGCGGGCACGAACAGTCAAATCGACTCCACCACAATACTTTTTTCATTCATCAAAACAGTCAAAGCAATTGCTGAAGCCATACAATACAAATTAAAGTGTGAATGCCAAAGTGCATTTCCTCTGCAGGGGAAGGGCTGTTTGCCCACAGCGGCTGGTCCTGCCAGCCTGAATATCAGTGACGCGTCCATCACAGGCTAACAGTATAACGGCTAGAGAAACAGCCAGCATGGCAAATAATGCCTCGTTACCACACCGCCCCAGAGAGAGGACACAGGCCTTCTGGATTATAATGTGGCTGGAGGTCTAACTGTAAAAAAACATGTAATCTATAGCCTTGTTGTATGGCAACCTATCAAATCAACAAAACTAAATGTATAATTTCATTAAACTGGTCAGACCAATAAGTGGTTAAAGAAAAATGGCAGGTCATTAAAGCTCCTCCAGCATAGAGAATGCAAGGGTACTTTTCAATCTATTTCTCAGCTTTTTGTATTTGTACAGTCTCAAGGACTGCTGTTGCATAATGGGGCGCTCTAACAGTTAACCAATAGTCAGGTCTGCTTCGTAGGCAGTGTAACAAGGCTCTTATCTTTGCTTCAGCAAGCAAGCTAGATAGTGTAAGAGCCACACAGAGACCGGCTATATCCCACAGACTCTGTTCTCTCTAAGCTAATGCCCCATACCTGCAGGAATGGAATAAAGTCCTCTTGCTCCAAATAAGGGCAGCCGGGCTTGGCCAGAAGGTGAAGAAATTTGGACGCATCATCGTGGCAGGTCTGCAGCACTCTAAAAACAGGAACAGATGGTTTCAGACTCTCTAGCTTCTCAAAGAGCACAGATTACTAAACTCTTCTTTTTAAATGCATAACCCCAAATTCATGTGCTCAGAAAATAAGACTTCACTATTCACGCTCAGCCATTCTCGACCTACAGTGGTGCAGGAGTACTGATTTAATGAAGTGCCTAAGTACTTCCATCAGTGCCACTTGCCATCTGCGAGCTATTCTGGGACTCACAAATGAATACAATAGCATGCATAGCACATACAAAACAATTCTGAACAAAGTCGGAGTGCTTCGCCTGTGCTTGCACTCGCATAAACATTTCAGCATGCAGTCACTGTTGAACACAAGTGCTGCTGACAGTGTGAGAGACTCCAATAAAAAGCACCATTGTCTTACTTTCTCCACATTGCCACAAACTTGTGCACGGACACATATCCCCTCCTGTCTCCCCCAGCAGCGTAGAACAATGGAGCCTTCCAATAGAGAGGACACTCACAAGCCTGGGGAGACACGAAATATACAAAGGGCCTGACTGTTGGTGTAACCCCTGAAAGCCATGACATTCAGAGCTGGAAAATTCTTAAGAAAGGCAAAAACATTCTAGACAGCCAATATTTGAGGAAAATCAGACGTAAGTGTCTTCCATTCTTCTAATAGCAGCAATTCATCACTAGGGCTTTAAAAGTAAGCTTTGATATAGATTAACTAGGCCAAATGGTCAATAATTATGTTTATAATTTGTTCTGTTTGAATGCTTTAAGGTTTTTCCATAAGCCATGGGCCTTAAAAAGTTTGGGCATTTTAAGTAAATTTCAGGTCAGTTTAAGTCAATTCTCTTTGTCAGGTTCTCAGTTATTCAAGTTTTTCAGATTTTTTCCCCCCATTGGTTTAGGAAAAGAAAAACATTCAGACTTGTAAACAGTTATAGACTTCTGCTAATTACACAAATGAAAACAATTTGCTGGGTGGCTGGAGGCTGCACGTTACAAATCACACTTACCTTGGCAACCTTCCCCATGTCCTCAATAGTCACTCTTTCATCAGGGAATTGAGAAAATATTTTCTCTATCTTGGAAATGAGATTGTCAATGTTGATATTGGCTTTGGGCCGTCCCCGAGGGAAGTAGAACTTTGGAATGCTTTCGCTTAACGCTGGCGTAACGACCTCTTCTTTCTTAACCTGAGCCTGCCAAAACGGACAGAAATAAACAGTGAGCCATGGGGCTTATTTAGTTCACATTACCATGTCCCAAAGGACAACCAACTACGGTTGCTCAGCACGTTACATCCCAATAAACTCTAGGGCGATGGCTGTTATTAAGACGTGTCCAGTGACGCTAGAATAAAATACAGGTCAGAAATATTTTGAATTATTGTGAAAGAAAAATAAAATGCAGTTTTACATCGCTTTTGAGAGGTCAAAATAGAGCCACACCATATATAATTCAACCACATAGCATGGTTCAAGGTAAATGCCTGCCAAAAGATGGTCCACATATATAGAAACACATAAGGACCTAAATACTTACCTGATCAGACATAAATATTAATGGAATATACTTTTACAATGATGCATTCCAAAAAAAAAATCATGAATGAACCAATCGGCAGGAACCACCAGATAAAAAGCAAATGTGAGCCAGACCCAAACATGCATCACAAATAGCCTACATTATGACCTTATAACAAAACATTCAGTTATTTCTAAAGGCAACCCTAACAATAAGAAAAAAATGTGCCACAAATTAAATTCATCAATGAATGAATTAATTTCTTAACTCCTTACTTGTGTTTAGCAGACCAAAGGTTGTCTATGAGCAGTAGGTGCAACAAGCATTTAAATGTTTTTTGTGTGTGCATTATTTGAATAGAGTCTGAATCCGCACCAGCAGAATCTCAAGGGGACGTGTCTTCAGTTAGTTTCAGTTTCACTTTGGAAGTGTCTAAAAGACCACAACCACTCAACATAAGGGCACAAATGCAGGGTATGTTCGATGCCGCTGCCATTGCAGTACGTCAACAGCTATTTAACTCATATGATAAACATTCACTTAGAGGAACAATACTTCAGCTAGGTTGAAGAAAGCAAAAAACAACAGTGGGATTTCACATCAGTGACGCTGTGTTCTTGTTTTAATATTATCAGTTATGTTCCATAGTCAACTTACTGATTCCTGAACCCCTGAACCACATCACATCATTCCACAATTATGTCTTCGCACTGCAAAAGTCATATATAAATTATATTTACTACTAAATTGTCAAACTCCATTTTTTAAAAACTCTTATGTAAAAGTTATATTGCTTTAGTTATCAACTATCAGATCTGTATGGGCAATCCAAACTCTCCTCAGAATTGTCTAAAGTCTATACCTTTCCCAGTGCACCCCATTTCACCGTATATCTAGAATGCTATTTAATCATCAGAACTGAACCCGTTTGGGCATCAGGTATAGCATGCTTAGAAGGGCCGCTTTGAAGAAGACCGTATATCTCTGAAAAGAGCTAAAACAAGTGATCTGGTGGATACCACTATCCTTATGGCTTCTTACAAGCCTCAACAGGAGAAGCTGATGTGTTTTCACAGACAAACAAACTTATCAAAAAGCAGGAAACTGGTGAGAAGTCAACAAGTTTGCTCAGGTTGAAGAGCAGAACTGAGAGCTCAGAGATAAAAAGTGAACCGAGTAGCATTTCCTGCAGATGTTTTTTCAGGCTGATGGCAGACCCTACAAAGTTACACATGCTAAGCCCAGAGAAGTATCATCACACAGAATTATTTTTAAAAACCTGGGGAATACGGTATACATGTGAAGACACCAAGATTTACGTTCTGTACTAGGGGTGGGCGATACGGCAAACATTTCGCGATACATTCACATCACAATTGTCTGACACACAGACACAATACACTACTAGAGCCACATTTAAAAAAACTATCAAAAAATACGAGTACAGTTTATTAGACATTTTATATGCTGCATTTATTATTATGCAGAACTAATTATGCTCTTTTTATGCACTTCTTTTTTATATGATGATGATGATACCCAAAATGTGCTCAGAGAAGCATGTTTATCATGATTGCCCCCCTCTTATCATCCATCCATCCATCCATCATCTAAACTGCTTATCCTTCTGGGTCGCGGTGGGGTGCTGGAGCCTATCCCAGCTGTCATTGGGCGGAAGGCAGGATACACCCTGGACAGGTCGCCAGTCCATCGCAGCCCTCTTATCATGCCCCCCTCTATTTATTTATATCAGAAGAATTCATGTGCCACTGGATGCTTTACAGCTCATTCTAGGCCAAGAAATAATTCATGTTTCTATAGAGTTGCAGAAAAATAGTGTTAATAGCTCTTTAAACCAACACTACATACTCTTTGTATTGTCATGTCTATAAGAGTTGATAGGCAAATAGATCTGATTTTGATTATTAGGGCTTATAGAATAATACATCAGGATGTTAATTGCTTATGTCTGCAAACATCCAGAAGGGGGAGCCCTCACTTTACTTGTTGATAAAATATCATTTCAATAAAACCACCCAAAATTAATACTTCAGTTTAAAGCTTGTTAATAACTCTGATCTAGAAGACAAGAGCTAGCTAGATGCTGCTCCTCCGATAAAATATATTAATTATGGCTATATAAAATGGCTAGTTAAGAACGTAAATCAATGTGGAAGCTAGTTATGATTAGCTAGGCCTTGCTCAAGAACATAACACATAACCACAAAATGCTGCAGTCAATTTGTGAGACTGAGTTTCATTCATGTCATTATTATGACAGTCACTCACACACACACACACACACACACACACACAAGTACGCACGTCTCTCACACACACAGTGATGCACTAAATGTCCTAGAAAGCAAAATATCAGGTGGTGTAAACAGTAATTAGAGCCTAAAATGCACCAATCCAATACAGCAGGTTTATTCAGCTTAATTTGATTGCTGTGAGTAGGGTCAGCAAGTGTAGGGCAACCCTTCAACACAGTAAATACATGTACATTAGCCAGGGTTATGAACTTACAGTATGACATTCTGGCCTAAAAAACATATTTACTATTTTTACTCACATTGTCACTTAGTTTTACTTTTTTTATTTATGCTTATTGAGTTGTATATGTACATTTTTAAAGTAATTTGAAATGAATTCATTTTTTGTTTGTTTGGGTTAAAAAAAATCTGAAATGCAAAAACAAACAGCGTGTAATATGCCATTTAAATGCACTAAGTTTAGTTTACTTTTAACAGATATTATTAATGTATGAAATTTAAGCAACGTAAATGTAAATTTTCCTTAAAAGGAAACCAACTAGCAGTTTATTTTAAAAGATAAAAAAAGTCTTATCTGCCACTCACTGTGATATCACACCACTATGAGACACTGCTCAATGGCTGGATCTGCAGACTTGGGATCTGAATTTAGTGCATCTTTACATTTGAACATGGACAGAGAATTTCACTTTGGCTAAAAATGTATGGATACCATATAAAAACGAAATGCTGTGAGGAAAACGTTAGCCGAACGTGTGTATCTCCTGACCTGTTATATGGTGGGGGAAATGCTGCACGGGCTGTCTAACCACAAACGTAGCACAGTCTAAAGAGGTTTAACAGGCCTACAGTGAAAGTCACAGGCTAGTATTCAGAATGTCTGGTAACCAAGGATACAACAGTATAGAATTTCCATATCAGCATGCTAACCGATAATTAACACCTTACTGTGGCTGACATTGATATTAGTAACTGACAACTTTAGTTATGGGTTTGTAAAGTGTAGTGAGCATAAGACCTCTAAAAGACAGATCATTGTTCAATTTTACCTAGCTGAAAAATTAAACAAAATTAAACACGATAATTATTGTAAACTTTGTAAAATTATTTACAGACACTTATTATGGGTCAATGACACAGTAGGTCCAGGTAACTTCATAAGTCTTGCCCATACAAACTTGTTGGTATAGCAGTGTTGTACATATTTAGTTGTATAGCTGTGGCATTCCTGTCTACTTTTCAAGTAAGGCCTTGCTTGTAAAGCTAGTCTTTTGTGGAGCAACTGATTTGCAGGTTTTATGTGCCTTAACCTGAATAGCTAGTTGGGCATTCACAAGCAAAACAAACTTAACAAAAAGGTTCACACCCTGGTGTATCCCAACCCTGCATAAGCAACATTATAAATACACCCTGAGTAACTATTTACATGACTCAATACTCTGTTGACTCTGATCTGTTTATCATGTAATAAGTCGAGTCCATGGTGTTTACTCATGTTTGTCCCCCTCATGATAAGACAGCAATTGCTCCACTGAAGTCCATATCTTGCTCCAAAACATGGCGCTTGCACAAACACTCGACTTATTATTCTGGCTTTTTGAACTTTAAGCTACCATTAGAAAAACAAAGCATCAGAAACATTTTAGAACAGGATGAAATGTCCGAATACTTTTAGACAACTTCATGAGGCCTTATATGGCATTCCGACACAGGGAACAATTTGCTTTGATGTGCCAGGCAAGGATACAGTGCAACACGCTGTGAGAGATGAATGCTGTTAATCTTCGCTACTCCACCACTGTCAGCCATGTCTATAAAAGGGAAAGGCCATCTCGTAGCCCAGCACAGAGCTGAGAGTTGTCTGCTCAGTGTTAAACATCAGGAGACTCCTCAGCACTGCTGATAATCGTTTACACATTCTGCAACACTCAAACCAGCCACATGGATGGTCAACTGGTCCATTAAGAGCAGCTAAACTTTATTTCATATTACACAAATACTACCACTACATTCCCATAGCTAGCCAAACAACCCACAAAGAGTCTGAGCAGCCTCAGCCCAATGGATAATTCCAAGTTAAGACAACCTGCCTGTCCTTGCTGGAAGGCTTTCAGCCTCTTCTTGAAACGTGAAGGCAGGACGAAGTCGCAGCCACGGGCCAGCAGAGCCAGTTCCTTCCTCAGGTCCGGGTCCTGCCGCAGAGACAGCTCCTTCATCCTCATGCTGCCGCCGGCTTACAAAGCAAGCGGAGCGGACGGCCAGGCGGCTTACAGTAAACACGGCGGGGTCGAGGATTATCTTCCTGCACGACTGGACTGTCCCACCACAGGACACTCCTCTGCCTGCCTTCAGCACAGCACAAGCCCTCTTAATGGCAAGCAGCAGCTGCGCCTCTCAGCCTTGCACCAGCCCCAGCATGCAATCCGGCTGACTGTCCCCATACATACAGCACAGGCTGGCTGAGGTCATGTACAGCCCTATCCTGCAGAGTCACTGGGGAGATCGAGGGTGTTTGTGTGTGTGAGTGTGTGTATGGGTGTGTGTAGAGAGACAGTCGGTGGGGGGGGTGTGGATCTGCCCTTTCCAATATGCATTCCTTATGCAAAGAGACAGACCTGTTGTTTCAGAGCTCTGTGATAACAGTATCCTTTTCACTTTTGAGGGACGCTCCAGAACAAAAGATTACAGCACATGGCAATTCACTGCCACATAGACGTTGAAAGCTGTCCATTTTTTTAGCTTAATTCTGCCAGTTACCATTTACATGTTACACTGGTTTCTTTGGCTGAAACAGAAGCTGAAATCCAATTACAACAGTATGCAGGCAACAGCAAGTCCTACCAAATCAAACTTGCTCAACAACAGAAAATGGTTGGTAATTAAAGGCAAGTAATTCCTTAATTTTGTAGTTATACTTTGCCCTTTGGCTTGGTTTGTGATTTTTTTTTTTTATCATTTTAAAAACTGGTGCTATTGATGGCGCTGGCATGTAAGCAGGGACTTTCCTTTCTGCTTGTGCTTTGCTCTATTCCTCGTATAGACTGGGACGCCTTGTCGTCAAGTAGCATCAAATTTGTAGTGGAGAAATTCTTGGGTGTTGTACCTCTTTATGCTCGGCATAAACAGAGATTATAAAGGGTGTGTCTAATGTCCTTTATAGAAACCATAAAATAGCTCCACCTGGCCAACTCTCTCTGTTTATTTGCTGCTGCTCAAACAGCTTGAATGCCAGTGAACTCAATTTTATTACCATTAAATGATTGGTAAAGTCATTGATTTTGACAATTACTTGTATACCTTTAATAACTGGTGGTATTTGGTCAAAGCTTTTGGTTTTTTTTTTCCTGTCCAAAGTGTCATTTTAACCCTTTTTGGCCAGTGGACAAAATATGAAAGCCCTACACAAGAGAAGATCCTAAATAAAATCAATACATAATGCCAGGCAATTCTTATAAAACTGACTGTTATATGATGCCCACAGAATTAGAAGAGCTCTCCTTGAAGGGTGAAAAAAATATATGCACATGCATCACCTCCTGTGGACTTTGTTTATTTTGTTTTCCAAGGCTTCAGCTTCCAGCCATTCCATACCTTATTATAGATGACAAGTCTTAGTCAGTATTACGGTGGGGGGAAGTGTTGAATTCAAAGAATGATGGCTAAAGCAGTCTAGGACTATTAAAAGACCCACCATGTACCGTTTGGGCAACCCCAAGAAACAAGATCTTGAGAAACAAGTGTATCTTTAGTCCTTGCAAACATACGTACCCAGACTGACAGCAATTACATCAATTCTCTGTAACCATGCTGATCCAAAGAAACCCAGCCACAGAAGCTGAGAGCTGGGTGTCTCTGTAAAGCCTTTTACGTGGCCATTATTGTTTTCAACACAAATCTAATTAACAGATATGGGCTTCAGCGACAAGAAAGCTGCCATAAAACTGACTGAACGTGCACACAAGGCTTGAAGCCATGGCTCGTACCAAACTGGTACTAAAATAAAGCCCTGACTGGCTTAAATGATAAGTATTTTTAGATGCCAGATCACAGGGTCCACATTCTTCCATTCATTTCAGCTGTATTCCAGTTCCTGTTGTCCTCCAACGGCAGGATACTGCACACATTTGATAAGCCACATTGTTGTTACCTGATTTCCATGTTATCCATGTACATTAGTCAATCAGTCAGTACAGCAGAATGGAAAAAAACAAGGGGACAAAGTAAACTAGCCAGTGAAACGGTTCTGTTTTTCTGTTGAATGTGTGTGAACATTCTCTCATAACAGTTTTCTCTTCACTGGTTCTGCATAGTAGTCTAGGCAAAACAACTCTTCTCTGTTCAACTAAGTTGGCACTAAAAGAACAAGTCTAGGATCTGTCCGTACAAGAGGAGGCAGCTGTCTGTGCCAAAAGTGCCAATTTCCAAACAAAGCCTTGTGTCCAGTCAGAGGAACAACTGCACAAAGACACTGATCAGCAAAGCAAAAATGGATGCACTAACAAACATAGTAGCAGTTGCCTAATTAGCTGCTCAGTTGCCACAGTTCCTTTGGGATAACATTCATTTTATCTTTATTTGCTGAAGCCAGAAGCCCAAAGTCCATCACCCAGGTCATTCAAGCCTTTGGATAGCAGACCACAGTAAGCAGTTATCTTTGCTAACTTGCGATGGATGACCAAGCTGTAAAAATTCTGCAGTCATATTTTTGAACGGTCATTCCACTAAACTCTTAATACAACAATTTCCTTACAGACACTATGGAGACAGAGGAACCAGGATTCTAGCAACTAAGGATTAATACTTTGTTCATTTCCACAACAGTCAAAGAAAAGACACTAAAATGCTAACTAGTTAACTGAAAGTTGGGCTTCTGCTTGCACTACTGTAAGAGTTTTACAAGCAGGAAGGATTTGCCGGCAGTCTATGGTAGACATAAACCTACTAATATTCAGTTTTATTGATCACAGACAAGAACAGTCTAAATTTCATTTGGAATATGAAATCGTAATCAGCCGATGCCACGCAATGGGTCTTGCCTATGTGATGCATCTGTCAGCTGGCGCAGTTGGGCAAGATGCTTCCACAGTTTTTCCACCATTAGTGAAAATTCAGAAGAGAAACAATTCTGATTCCATTTGAACAGAAACCAAGGAAGAAAAAATTACAACAAAATGCAGTTGTTGTATATAATCTAAACGATTGTTATAATCTAAACGACAGGCTTAGCAACGGTATGTCTGTGTAATGCCATATGAAATTCCATAATCTGAGTTGCGTAACACCCAAGTGCATGGCCAGAATAGACACTGGTCAGCCTATAATGAATGTTAAACCAAAAGTCACCTTGCATGAACATTTCTTCAAGCACACCAATTCTGCATATAGTCTTCCTAGTAAAATCTAAATCTTAGTAAAAACTACTTTAAGATAAAAGTTAAGAGAAAATAGCTGCACTGTAGTTTGCCTGAAGGGACAATGTCACATTGGGTTTAGGACAGGAAATCTGGGTTTGTTCACATTTAAACTTAAAATAAGATGCACAGATCAAATACAGAGCATAAAAAGTGAATAAGCCAACTGCTTAATTTCACATACGCTTATTATGACTGAAGTTGTTTAGACAAGAAATGGCACAGTCTTCCTGCTAAACTTTCCAGATAGGGATGACCTGATCCAAGTTTTTTGCTCAAGTAAGTGCAAATCCTTTTAGTAGTGAATCAGTCAATACTAGGTTTGATTCAATATTTGTATTCTTAAACAGATAATACAACCATATAGTACACACTTCAAGTACAACTAATCCAATTTAGGTTACATATGCTAGGTTGTCAAAACCTTACTTAAAAAAGCTAGAGTAAAATTTATTCCTTTTTTTAGTTTTGTTTAAGCTGAGGAGCTGAGAACTATAACTTGTTTATGATTATATGACCAAAAACTAAAAAGTTCACGAAATGACTGGCACATACACTGATTTGCTACTAAAAGTTTCATATTGTAAGGTTTTAAAGTTCTATGTAATCACTCATTACTAATGATGCATGATGATATCGGAATATGGCATCGGCAGATACTGGTGTTTAAAAAAAAAATTAAATTTTTAAAGGCATCACACATATTTGTTTTTTGACCGATATTTTAAATCGACATTTTATGACATTTATTTTACTGCAGATAAGCAGAAAGTTTAGGTGATGCTGGGTTCCAACGAAAAATATCTGCATTTTATTCATTTTACTACATTTTTAAACTGCCACAAACGTGTTACATTTCTCTGTAATGCTAATCCAACTATATTTTTATAAATGTTTGTATCACTATCAGCAGATATGTACTTACAAAATGCTGGATATTGGCATCAATCAACATTAATGCAGCCTTACTAATTACTAGCCCAGGTTAAAATGAACATAATTACTTTGAGCTTTGGCTTAACGCATCTCAGTAGCTCTCAAAAGCCATTACTGTCCACCATGTCCTCCTCTATGATTCTGCACACCCATGTGTGATTTCCTCATACTGACATGTATTGCACTTTCTAGGAACATGGACAAAATAGTCGTCTGTCGTATTACTTACTGATCTTTGCTTTTGACATGGTACATCACAGTAGCTGTCTAATTGTCTTTTCAAGAAGTGTTCCTGGACACCACTATTTTTAGCTGCACGCTGATTTTTCAGTAGGCCTATTTAGAGGAACCAGTTGCCTACTGCCTACTGCATACAATTTAAAAACTCCCCAATTTGAACAATAAACCTCCTTATTCAAATATGAACTGCTGTTTATTGTATAAGAAATAAAATTAGATCAATGCTTTTTTTTTAAACTAATACCATTGTTTTATTTCTCAGATGACAGGTAATCAGTTAATCATTTATTTTCCTAGGAGCAACCATTTTTAGCGCGGTGAATACACTACCTTTTATTTTTCATGCTTCGCTCATGCACAAAGTAGCTTGTTCTTTGCTGTCATCTTTGACCTGGCTGTTCTGGGTCGTGCCGTGGCATAGTCAGTAAAGCAGAACATTTCCACTTTTGTTATATTACCAGTTGTGACTCACACAAAAACAGACTTGTGCAACAGCCTCAGTCTCATATTTCACACACAGCTAGTTTACGTTTTAACAAAAGGCAGCGAGCTCAAATGTAGTTGAAACAGCATTTACTGCCATAACTGATATAATTTTTTATTTTCCACTTAAAAACAGTCCCACAAGGCTACTAGTTAACTTCTGAAAACATGTCTTCTTGTCGTGCATCTTTGACAATAGAGAGAAGAGTGCAAAAAAAAACAAACATGTAAAAAAAAAAAAAAAGTACAAAGACACAGACAACCAATACCTGACCCTGGAACATCCCTACTTTTAGGTGTCATGGTCAATACAATCCTGTTTAGACTAACTTATGACCTTAAAAACACTGGCTTTTAGAGGCTGCTTTCAGTAGTCAGGAGATCAGATGTTCATTATCAAGCACAAAACAGTTTAGGCACAAGATCTAAACAGCGTAATTAAAGGTTAGAATACATTCGCTGTGGGCTGAGAAAGACTCCACATGACCTACGCATGTACTCTTTTTAAGAAGGAATCATTAGAGTTTCCAATATTACAGACAGTTCATATAGCAGCTCCAGTCCTGCAGGGACAACACGGCAGCCCTGCTGTAATACACCCTATTTCATTAACGAAGGACTTGGTAATTAGCTAATGAGTTGAACTAAGTGTGTTAGAGCAGGAAAACACTGAGCTGCTCAATGGCCTGACCCTCCAGG